ATGTCTTCCAGAGTGATGTTTTAGGCCTCGTGCTCTGGGTGTTTGTGTGAGAAGAGAGTGAGTGTTCACATTGATCGGTTGATCCTTTTTTTGTAGCAGACGTTAAAGGCCAAGCTATACGGTCAAGGTCAGCCAGGCCTATAGAAATGTAAGAAGAAGCTGCTCTCTGAGCCACAGAAAAAGCAGATGTATTTTCTTTCAGACACTACCAGGCCACGGCGTGAAAATGAAGTTGACGGACAAGATTACCACTTTGTGGCATCACGGGAGCAGATGGAGAAGGACATTCAAGACAGCAAATTTATCGAAGCTGGGCAGTTCAATGACAATCTCTATGGAACCAGCGTCCAGTCTGTGCGGGCGGTGGCTGAGCGGGTGAGTCCGGCATCAGGGGCTGCATCATTCTTGATCAAAATACCGTGTGGCCAAGTGGCTGCTCAGGACTTGTGGCATCGTTCAGTTCACAAATTGCCCGTATTGTTTCCACTGTCAAACCAAGCAGCAGGTTTATGGCTGGTTTATGCCGGGTTTTGGGTCAGCTTGTTTTGAAGCTGCTGCTGCTATTTCATGCAGGAGTTGATGCGTACATGGTGATGACCTTAAGCCACAATCTCATTTAAGTTCTAAAACAGTGTAAATAAACCAGCCACCTAGTAGGCATTGTCTGCTGGCATCTCGGCTGCTTTGAGTTGTGGTCCTCCTGTTGAGTTTGGGGTGGGGACGGTGGCAAAGCTTCTTGAGAGTGCTGCGCAAAGGCTGCGTAATAACGGACCCAATGCCCTCCTCCAGGGGAAGCATTGTATCCTCGATGTGTCGGGCAACGCGATCAAAAGATTGCAGCAAGCACAGCTCTACCCAATTGCGATTTTCATCAAGCCCAAATCCATTGAAGCGCTCATGTGAGTAACATGGAGATTAGCAATTTAGTTATTTTTATTTATTCATGAAATTTATACCCCTCCCGTCTCACTGTCTGACTCTGGGTGGTTTATAAATAAAAGCATTAATTCGCTTACCTGAAGGCGACCTCTGAGGGGCGTGAGTCAGGGTGGAGCAGCCCCTGTGGAAAGGGGAGGCCCCCGACGCCCTGTCTGCTGCAGGGGAGGCTCGGCAGGGGGCAGGCCTCCATCTTTAGTGACGGAGGCAGGCCTTGTCGGACGTCACCGAAGGGGAAGTTTAGTGATGGACATGGGGATGTGGGTGTTGGGCAGCTCTTGCCAAATGGACCGTCGTCAGGTCAGTAATGGGTTTTTCGCCCGCTTAGTGCATCCAACTCTCCCCTTTTCGATTATCAGAAGTTATTTTGCTGCAGGTGGGTTTAAAATCTACTTTGGGATATCTTTTCCTGCCCTCGGCTCTCAGAATTGCCAGTCTCAGTTTCTCTGCAGCCTCCACACCGTCCAGAAGCTGTAAACTCTCTCTATGACCGCAGCCCTCCCGCTTGCCCTCCACCTGTCTCTTCAGGCGGAGTCGAGATGCCGAGGTGCTTTGCATCATTTCCCTAGCAATCCAGGAGGAAAAGCCAGATTTCAGACAGTGGCAGAAGCAGAGAAGCTCCAGTCAGAGCAGAGGCTTTTGTCCTGACGCTGTTTTTTTTTTTCTGGGCCTGCAGGGAGATGAATCGGAGGCAGACGTACGAGCAGGCCAACAAGGTCTTTGACAAAGCCATGAAACTGGAGCAAGAGTTTGGAGAGTACTTTACAGGTGAGAGTTCTATTGGGTTGTTCTGGTGAGCTTGTGAGGTGCTGCGTAGGTGCCACCTTCATTGCAGGAATTGGAAGGAGTGGGCAAAATAGATTTTCATGTAGATGAAAACGGGTCAATAATGCAAGATCAGTTTAATTGCTTGCAGCTTCTAAGGAGGCAGTAAGCTGCCCCTTGGCGGTGGGGGAAGGAAGTAGGACCCTTCTTCTCTAGTAAACTCATTCTGCTTTATTTCCATAGCCATTGTACAAGGAGACTCCCTGGAAGAGATTTACAGTAAAATCAAACAGATAATAGAGGACCAATCTGGGCATTATATCTGGATCCCATCCTCTGAGAAACTGTGATGTCCCCCTCCCTCCAATCAACCCATTAGAAGATCCGCGACCCTTTCCCCGCCCTCTGCCCCAGAGGGGGAGCGAGAAGACCACCCCGTCCCTTTTCTAGATGGTTGACAATTGCGTTTTCTAGTCCTGTTTTTCTTTTTCTTGGGATGGACCAGTCTCCTTCATCAAGTGACTGTCCCCCACCATTCCTGCATGGACTATCCTGCTGCTCCCCTAGAAATGGAGACAAACCCCATTTGAGAGTTTTCTGTGTTTTTAATTAAGAAAATACAACTGTTGAAGTCAAAAAGCAAGGTAGGAGGTGGCAGTTGACCACTAGCCTCAAGAGCCACGGATGCAGCAGACGTGGCCAGTTTTTGCCCCTCTAGATGTAATGGAGATTGGCAGCCTATCAACTTTACCGAGAAGAAAAGGCAACAGAATGCTTTTATTTATCCAGATATGTAATTTTATATATATAATATATGCTCTAAATATATACATATACATGACTAGAGAATGTTCTGAACATAGTCATATATGTATATATATATATGTATATATATGAGACTAGAGAGCATGAGGGGGCTGCTGAAATGTTCTCGGCAGGCGAAAGAATTGCTGCCTTGCCTCAGCCGTTGGGACAGAAACTGCTGTGGTTGGAGGTGAGCTGAATGGTACGGAGCGTTTTGGGGAGCTGTTTTGTGGTTCTTCCAAAACCGATTTCTGCATTTGGAAAGAGAGAAGCCAGCACTGTGATTATGGAGCAAGCAGAGGGCCCAGAACCACACAACAAGTTACAACAATTTATTTGAGCACGCAAAGGCAAAAGGATGATGCTTCATATTAACTGCACATTGTTTTATGTCACCTGATGTGTTTGCATGAGAGGTTTTTTTAAGCTGCTGTTAAACCAAAATCATGTTTGTGTTGGTGTGTTGGCTTTTCATTATTCCAAGCTTTTGATTTTAATAATGAACTGAACGGGTATACAATCCAGTTTTTTAACTTATTTTTTAAGATTGTTCCATTGTAAATAGTTTCCAGACCCAACCTACAGACCGTGTGGAATGAGCACAGCGGCTGTTTTGTGTTGCAGTCAGGTTACTTGTAGAGACTCGACTCCATCCCACCACCGACTTGTTCTGTGGAAGAGCATTGAGTTGTTCTGTGCGGTGAGAAGCTGGATGCAGCAGGGGGTGTGAAGAGAAGCTTGTGCCTTGGAGGGTCACTCTTTCAACCAGGTTTTCAGTGGAAAATTGACTCAAGAACCTGGAAAGTTCTTATTCTAGCAGAATTGTGCCAAATTCTGGTTGCAACACTTGAAGCCCTTCTGACCAAGCTAATGCTTAGAGGCTCCGTGAAGAATAGCACCCTCCATCTTATTTTGTATTTCTACATGATCCTCGTTGCAGAGATGGGCCCCAGCCGTTCCTCGCTGCCGACATCTGCTTGCAATTCTTCAGGATAGCAAAGGGCCAGTGCAATTGAGAACGCGCTCTCTGTGTGGCACAGACTGTTAGTCTTCCATGGACTGCGGCTAGCTGCTAATGGGAAGCCCTGGTTTGTGGTCATGTCGATGTGTAGACTGTAGGTGCAAAAAGATTTTTTTTATTACCAAACGAGAGAGTAAGTTGGATTTGTGAAAGTTCTGGGTGGAGTTTTCAAGTGTTTCTAGATCGGTGCAAGCCCTTGCCTGGGGGGCCAAAGGAGAAGATTTGCCCACTTTTGTCATCTTGCCTCAATCTCAAAAGTTTGAAACAAGTGATTGTACACATCTTGTTTCCATGGAGCGAGAGCCACGGCTGCTACGGTAGGAGATCCAAGTTGTCCCAGTCCTTGGTTGGGACGAGCCTCGGCTTCTAGCAGGCTGATGCTCTCCGCTCCATAGCTGGTAGGTAGCTGTATCATTCATTGTGTGATTTGTGCACGGCCTTCATTGTTAAACATGGGTGAAAACTCATCTTGCGGAGATTCATTCTGGTAAGCGAGAAACCATTTCCACATCAGCTGTGTTGCAAGAAATGTCAAGTGGAACTTTGGAAGGACCGGAGCTGCTGTTCATTGGTAGGACTGAAGAATCGGGAGGAAGCCGCTGTCAGGTAGGAGAATCCCTGGTGGGAGGATTTGGGAGAGGCCAACTTCCTCTGCTCAGCTGGTGTCTCAAGACACGTTCTGAAGAACCGGACTATGCATAAATAGAAACAGCTCTCGAGGTGGCTCTTCTCCAGGCTCCGATGACTTTTATTTTGTAATAGCCGGTCACTCTTCTAGGCTCATGGAGGAAGGGCCTGCCTCCTCCATGGCGTAGCTGAAAGTATCCAATCACGACACTAGTGGGTTTACCGGTGTTTCTTCCAAGGAGACATATATTTTTAATAAATGAACATTGCAATGACCTCGTCTGCTGCTGTTTTCTTGGGTGGTCCTTGGTTTGAGGGGGGGATTATCTTGCAGGGCTTCATGGGCCAGAAATATTAATCCAAAGCCATTCATTAGTGCCCCCTCCCTGCAGTTTTGGAATCCTATTTTAAAGCTGTTTTGCTGGATTCTTTTTACTGTTACTTTCTACCTTTGGTGGAGTTTTTCTCAAGCCATTCGGCTACACAATAAATGTAGTTCTTGCAAAATTAGAAGTTGTGGCAAATGTAGCATGGTTATTCACCTTGCAGTGCAGGTGTGTCTACAACCCAGTAGACAACTGCCTACTAATAGTAATATAATAGTCTCTGCATGTTTGAGGAACTGCCTTCATAGCTGTGTTAATGAGATCAGTTAGGCATATGTGAGACACTAGATAAGAAGCTGAACTTTAGATCTGAACTTAAATTCTGCTCCATTTGTGGAGCCTATTTCATTAGGACAAAATGGGTAGATTGCTTGTGTAGACTGCCTTGAGCTTCTAAGAAAAAATTGGCAATATAAATGTAACTAAAAAATACACAAGGGAAGAGAAATATATTTGTAAACAATTAGAACTGCTTTATTCAACTTCATGTTTGTGAAACATCCTCCCCTGAATAATGCCTACAATTCCACTTGCCAGTGACGGCCTGTATGCAGCCAGTTCCGTTCAGCGCAGGGCCGCTGGTGGTGGCCACGGTCCCCGTCATTCTTCTTTGGAATGGAGTCTCTTTGCTTTGTCCAGTTTGTTCAGCACCTCACCGTAAACACCGATCATCTGTGGACCAAGGTCACCCTACATCTTTAATAGATCCGCACAATAGGCTGAGGAGTGCTGTGCAGCTCAGCCCTTCCATTAGTGGAAACAACTAGGGGAAGCAACAGGCCCACTAAAACAAGGACTGTGTGTTAAATGCAGCCTCTCGTGTCTTTGCAGTGCCTCAGACTCCTTTGAAAGGGCTGCTCTGGGGAAGGACATCGGCCCCTTTAGTTTCAGAGTGAGGTATTTGCATCCCTGTAACAAATCTTTGGAATCAAACCCATGGAACTGAAATCCCCTACTCCCCACTTGATGCTAAATCTCAGTAAGCAGTTTCCTCCCCAGTCGTGTGTTTGTCCTCCTGTACGATGGGCCATTTCAGAGGGTGCCCTGGGTGTGATTAAGTCCTCTACTCGTCCGTCCGTCCGCCCCCCCTCCCTCACCTGATTCTCGTAGCTGTTCTTCAGAGTCCCCAAGTAGGCCAAGAACCGTATTCCTAGGCCACACCATTGCTCTGCTTCCTTGTACTTGCCAGCAGAGTACTGGTATATTCCTGTGTTCCACGCTCTAGTCATAAGCCAGATTATCTCCACCTCTGGGTAATTAGTCTGTAACCCCTGCTAACGTTCAAAGGAATACATCACAGCTTTAGTCCAAGCTTAGTTTTAAGAAGGCAAAAATATATACAGCTGTATTTTGCTTTAATGCGGCTGGATATGTGAACACATCAATTGCCTCATTTAACTGCCTGGACAGAAGTGGGACCCACCAGGAGGATGTTGTTCTCATCCACCTCAGCCTGTGATGTTAACAGGAAGAGCCAGGCAAATATTCTACCAAAACGCCCATTTGGCAGACTCTCAATAGACCCGTCACAGAAAGAAGCCGCGTGATACTAACTGTGTTGTCCAGTATGGTCAGAGCATCTTCAAAATAGGCCCAGGCCTCCTCCAGCACACAAAGATCTGCCTCAATCGGGCCGGAGGGCAGAGAAAGCTGGACCAGGCTGTGCAGGCACTTGCTGAGCGTGAAATACAATGAAAGGACAGGCCTGAGGAAAGCATCTGTGGAGTGCCTTCTTTCTGCCTATTTGCAAGGCATCCAAACCTCATCCCGGCAAGCAACCTGGTGCTAGTTGGCTCTTAGCAACTCTTACTGGCCCAGGCCTGTCCAGCCCTCCCCTCCCCCCAACTCGGGACCTTCAACAACAGGGCAGGAAAAAGCAGCTGCTCCTTTTCAGAAAGAAGCAACTGTGAATGTCCTGAGTGAGGAAGGCATCCCTAGACTCTTTTTCTTGAGAAGAAATAATAAGAATTTTACCTGCAACAGTCATCCTCTCTCCCTAAGCCTGTCCTCCATCCACACAGCCAGGATAAATACTCCTTATGCGCCCAGCTGCTTCTCAGCACCACTGCTTACCTGTAGGTGATTGTATCCATCGATTCACCTTTCCTAAGGAGAGTCAAGACCATCTTGAGAGCCCTCTTGCACACGGATGGATAGTGAGCAGGAGATTCCATGGCCAACGCTTGAGGAAGAAGTCATGGGAAAAAGAGACACCTTTCAAGCCACTGGGCACCTGCTCTTTCACAACACCACGGGGCTGCTGCTCAGAGAAAAAGGCTGTAAGCACAACATCGATCCCAGAAGCTTCAACTCCATTTTTGCTGTGGTAACTGGCTTCATTGCCCAAGACTCACGGAAGCAGCAGTTCTCATTTGAAGCAACTGCCTTGAAATGCAAGATCCCCCCCCCCGGAAGGGTAACGGGGGCAGCAGGCCTGGCTCTTACCAGCAATGGTTTCCAGAGTCTTGATCTCCACCTGTGGAAGCGCCACCACTTCATCTAACAGGCTGGGCACTGCAGGAGAGTTCAGCTTGGCACTGGCTTCAAATTCATAAAGCAGTAATATTGTATCTGTGGGGTCCTTGGGGAAATCGCCTATGGAGCAGAAAACGAGTCCCACTTTAGTAGCTCACACGGTATGACCGGCAAGAGGGGCAAAGCAACCCCTAGCCCGTACAGTTTCAGCACAGCGAAGAGGAATTCAGGTGGGAGATGGGCACTGCCAAGCCTACGAAGCCATGGGAGCAGACAATGCCCGCCTGGTTTCCACTAAAGGCTAAGAGCTGCCTGGGTCCCATTGCTTCACTGGGCTTGAAGGGGGGCTGCGGCTCCAGCCTCACTTCTCAGCGGGCACCGAAATTCAGGGCTCAGAGAGCCCCACCATCTGTTCTGAAAGGGCTGGAGCCTTGCTCGAAAGTGTTCGAGGGATTCCTGGCTGAAACAGGCCTGCAGCCCTGACAGACTTCAGCCTCGGCGCAGACAATATCCCACGGCCGTCACTAACTAAGGCAAGCAGGTTTCACCATTAATTTATTTTGGAATTGTAGAAATTCTAGCTCACCTGTCTGCTTCAAGACTTTCCAGATTGCTCTGCAGGATTGGATGTACTCGAGAGCCTGAGTCAGCAGTTCAGCCTGCTTTGGAAGCAAACATATATTTCAGGTAAACTGTACATGAGAGCATCACAACATTTGTTAGAGTGTCAGGGAGAAGGCATTTCCTGACTTTTTGCCTACCTAAACTTATCTATTGATTATCAATGCCTAGATACTATTTTTTTTTAATTTAAATGTTCTGCAATTCTCTAAAGAAGCACAAAAATATAAAATGTGGAGTGCTGGAAGAATGGCTCAAGAATCAAATATTATTCCCATTTCCAAAGACAATCAGGCAGATGTCATCTCTACAGGATAATTAATCAGAAAAGAACTTAGGCCTTTCCTAAATTTCCATGAGGCACTACTCCTACAATACAAAAGTTAACATCTGAATTCCTTCCAAATTCTACCTCATCAGCAGGCAGCAAATTGCTTCGGCTTATGTCCAGATCCACCGCGGCAGCCATGAGTAGGCATGTTCTCTGAGCGAGCAGGACTGCTTTATCATGAGGACAAAACTGGGAGAACTGCAGCAGGAGATATCAGTGCAACTGTAATTATTTCCCCCTTCATCAAAGCAGGTCAGAGCTATCCAAACTTGGTCAGAGAAGATCATAAGCCACTTAGAAAGGGATTTGCAATTTTTAAAAAACTTAATCATGCTTGCATAGACAAAACAATCTCAAAACTCACTTCTGGTTTTGCTCATAACTTGATTTACTTATTTATAAATTCAGTTTCTATAGCCACCCATCTCAATCCAATTGACTCTGGGTAGAGAACACTATCACAGTATCACACAATAACCACAGCACTGCAATCTTTGAGAAGGGTTCCTTTCAAAAAGAGTTTTGCACAAAGAAAACCACATTTGCAAATGCAAAGAAATCAGGGAGAATTTAGGGAGAGTCGCATACCTTGAATGATATTATAAAGAAATCTCTCATCACTTTTAAGCAGCCTTCACATCGCACAGCCAAGTTCCAAGCTCATAAAGCAAATAAAATAGTGTCAGATTTAACAGCATCACCAACAACAATTATGACAATTCTGCTTAAGACAAAGCCTTTTCTCCTCTGATAGGCTTAAAAAGTCGTGGATAATTTCTGCACAGAGATTTCATGGGAATTCCCATTATTACGAAAGAATACCCATGCTTTTTAAATCCCTTCATTATTCAGCCCATAAAGACACATTCCCCCGCTCCTCTTCTTGGAAAGCATGGGGTAAAATGGCCATGCGAACAAGCTGTCTTGAACAACTGACCAACAGTGTTTACTGCTGACAAGTGCAAGAAAACCCGATTCCTCGCACTCAGATCGCTCCTCCTTCTTTCGGATTACAGGCCTCACCCCCAGGGCTGTTGCGTCTGTGCACGAATGCAGAAGGGAGTCAGAGAACGCTATTTTGCACAGGAGGGAATGCTTGCACCCCTGATGGAAGCCCCCACTGCCCAAGCATTTCCACATTATGCTTTTTGTTTTGGAATCACACGGTGAGGAAGCAGGGTGATGGCGGACTCCGCCTCATGGCCTACCTATCTTTCTGAACCACTGAGCTTCACTGACCCTGATTTCCAGCATCTCCTTTTCCTCACTGTGCAGCTCATCAAGTCTACGGTGAGCTGGAAGAAACGAATGAATGTTAGCAACAAACATGAATTTATGAACCTTGTACTTTCTGACTGGGACTTTATAAAGCACCTAAAGGTCTGTCAGGGTTCTGAACAGACGACACTTAGTAATGAACACAATGTACAATGATCTAGCTAGCTTAATACCTGCTGTCACGTGTGCTAGCAGTGTCTCCATATCTTTAATCCTAAAATAAAAAAGTGGCAATTATTTAGCATCTCTAGATGATATTCAAGAGAGAAAAATACCTTCGCTGAAGAAACAGCAGTTAAAATAAACCAGTAATAACACTGCTCTTCTATGAGGAAGTAGAAATATGATTACATGAAGGAAGAATTAACACTGCCGACAGGAGGTAGAAAGAAAATCTAAATCTAGGTTCAGTACTATGTTAGTGACAGTTCAAAATAACCATGGCTAAACAATTATCTCCCTCTACGTAAGTCAAGTGGCTATTTAACTTTTCTCAGTAACAGCTTATCAAAAGCTGAATATCAATAATTATTAGAAATGTAACTCACATCTCCTCTTCAGATGTCACTTTTGACAATACAAGTCGAATCAAACACCTGCAACAAAAGCCAATTATACCAAATGTTGTTTAGCACACATAATTAAAAACATCCACCTTCCTTCAAGAGCTACTCTCTTTACTTTTATCGTTGTTTATTAACTGTAGAGGCTCCTTTGCCAAATCAATCCAGCACAAAAAGTCCACATCCAGTGTTGAAGAAAGATGGCAAAATTTTTAATAATAATTTGGTAGTGGAATTTTCCACCAATGGGATTTTCCCAGGTATTTTACCAGGAAACATAGATAAGGCAGTCTGGAAAAGTTAGTGCCCTCGCAGCAATACGCAAGCACTCCGAGTTTGTTGGCGATGTCCATTTTGCCGTATGAGTTCATGGTGACCTAACCCTAACCCTAAGTGGAATTTTCCTCCAATGGGATTTTCCCATGAATTTTACGAGGAAACATAGATAGCGCAGGCTAGAAAAGTCAGTGCCTTCCTAACCATACCCAAGCGCTCCGAATTTGTTGGCAATGTCCATTTTGCCGTATGAGTTCATGGTGACCTAACCCTAACCCTAAGTGGAATTTTCCTCCTATGGGATTTTTCCATGTATTTTACCAGGAAACATAGATAGAGCAGGCTAGAAAAGTCAGTACCATCCTAACCATTCCCAAGCGCTCCGAGTTTGTTGGCGATGTCCATTTTCCTCTCCGAATTCATGGTGACCTAACCCTAACCCTAAGTGGAATTTTCCTCCAATGGGATTTTCCCATGTATTTTACCAGGAAACATAGATAGGGTAGGCTACAAACATCAGAGCCTTCCTAACCATACCCAAGCACTCCGAGTTTGTTGGCGATGTCCATTTTCCTCTCCATGGTGACCTAAACCTAACCCTATAGGTGAACTCAAATTCAGGAGCACTAATATAAGAGACACGTTTAAAAGATGAATATGAAACAAGATTTCAAGTAAAGCAAATCTTTCCCATATATAAAATGAGGGTATCTTAAGGATGTATTAAAAAAGACTGAAGTCTTCATATTGTGACAGCAAATTATGAAACAAAACAGCATTTATATGTTACTCACTTTACTGCTGTAAGCGCTTGCTGGCAACCCTCCAAGTGTTGAGATAAATACTCCAAGGCTTTAATAGCCATAGCCTGTTGATCATTCTGAAAGGAAAATTATTTAATTAGTAATGTAACTATGAAAAATATAACTTTAGTATGATCTTGTTCTGTCTGAACACAATGAATGTCATATTTTAAACACAATTCAAACAGGGTCAGGTTGAAAAACTTCCTGTATCTGGGGGATCATCATTCAAAGCACAAAATGTGGAGCAAATGCTGAGGATTAGAACATCATCCCCGGCTCCAGTGTCTTTCACTAATTTTCTCTCTCTTGGGTGATCATTTTAAGTATCCAACTGAGGATACAGTTTCCAAATTTTGCTTCTTTTCCTCTTCCCATCCCTTCCTTAGCTTTTCCTCTTGTTGTAAATTGCAGCTCCTGGAGAATGGAATGCTTTCCTTTTACTGACTTTATCTAAAATTTTCAATTAAAAAGGAGGAGTTACAGAGATCCCAGCAGTCATGAAAATCCAATTTATACCTCCAGGGCGAATTGAGCTGCTAAGCTCAGAAGGTTGGTCGCCATAGATCCTTCCATGAGCATTTTGCCTTCTGTGAACTCTGCAGCCGATTTCTCCATTGCTACAAATGCATCCAAAGCTAAAAGACAGACAAGAGACACTAAGAGAGCAGCCTTCAGACCTGGGAGCGATTGGGAGGAGCTTTGCTCCGAGAAGAGAAACCTGTTGCTCTTTTACTGCCGCTAGCATCAATGTGCTCTCTAGTGATGGCCTGTATCAGATAGCCCGAGTTCTGGGTCAATCTCTTCAAAGGCCAAATTGTCATTGTGTGTGGAATCTCAACTACTTGTGCGTAAGGTCTGATCTTACAGTAGGCTGTTCTTCCATATTCCAGAGCCTAGCAATTGTAGGCTTTTGTAAGAAAAATAAAGTATTGTTGTACCTTGCAGACAAAAACATTTGTCAGCTCTTACAGTGCTGTAAGATTTTTTGTTGTTCTTGCACAGAGATCTAGTTGTTGCTGGTAAATCATTTCTTGTGTCCGTGATATGTACAAATTGTGTTTTTCATTCTGTTTGTTATATAAGGGACTGCTTTGGTTTATGAACCTGGTATAAATGGGTGTATTTAGACAGCAATCTTAAGGGACAGCCTGGGGTCACTCTCCACCCCTCTCCCAAGTTCAGGAACGTGTGTTTTTTACCAGAACAAAACCCAAAGATGCTACTTTTGAGTCAAGCTCTATTGCGAAGTTACTCTTCTGGCTTGAATCCTCAATTATGTTTAAATAAATTACGTATATGAGAAAGATGTAAGGCATGTGGACTTTTCAACTCCCAGAATTCCACAGCCAGCAATGCTGGCTGTGGAATTATGGGAATTGAAGTCCACATGCCTTAAAATTGTCAAGGTTGAGAAACACTGATCTATGTTAAAATAACATGCAGTAAATATTATTATGAATATCAAGGAAAATTACTTTGTTTTTCATGATTGCAAATTTAAACAAGTGAGATTGCCGAAGATTCATATTTTGTGGTCTGTCTTTCTGAATCTATTTTTCTTATTCTATGTATTTTTCCTAATTATAGTGCCCTTTATTCTTTTTACCATTTTAATGATTTCATAATCCATCTAGATAACCGTAAATCTGGTGGATGAGAAATATATAAAAACTAAATGGTTAATACATTATTCAAATAGGACATATTAAAGCTCATGCTGAAATATACCAATATCAAACTGTTGAAGGATATAATGTATGCCCAAGTAATTTATTTAAAATCTAAAAATATGCTACCCTGATTCCAAATATATGACCAAATAACAGTGGTGTAACTAAAAATCACTACTATTTTGCATACCCTGATAATAGTTATTAGCATCTTTTGGATGACATTAATAACAACAATCAAGGAAGAGGGATTACCAAAGTGACAGTGTGCTACCAAGAAGCATTTCTGCTCTACACAGAGAGAACCGAGTGCCCTAAATTCTGAGATGTGTCCTGGACAGTCAAAGGATTCTAAATCTGGAACTTTTACATTCTTTCTGCTGATGCCTTTTGTGTAATTTGCCATATTCTCTTAAAAACATAATTCTATGCACAAGAATACCCCTTCTATGCAGTTGTAAATACCACTTTGTGACAAGAGGTGCTTGTCTGATATATAGAGGGCAAAGGTGGGATAAACCGTCATTAGATTCTCTAGCTCCTTGCCCTTAAACAGATGCATGACACATTCACTGGCACAGTAAAAGCACAAAGGCACAAATACCTTTGAGGGTATTTTTCTCTAAGACTGCTATTTTATAAACATAGAAGTGAGTGAAGATGCTGTTTGGGTCGTATCTTTCCGCCTTCTTTATAGCCTCAGTAGCCTTTAGGTAAAGAGAATCAGCTCAGTTAGTCACAGTAACAGCCAAATAACTAGTTAATAGCTATATAATTAGTTTCTATGAAATACTAACATTTCTGCAATAAAACATTTATATTATATTATATTATATTATATTATAGTAATAGTAGTAAAGTTGGAAGGGACCTTGGAGGTCATCTAGTCCAACCCCCTGCTCGGGCAGGAAACCCTACACCATTTCGGACAAATGGCTGTCCAGTCTCTTCTTAAAAACTTCCAGTGTTGGAGCATTTACTGCTTCTGGAGGCAAGCTGTTCCACTGATTAATTATTCTCACTGTCAGGAAGTTTCTCCTTAGTTCTAGGTTGCTTCTCTCCTTGATTAGTTTCCACCCGTTGCTTCGTGTCCTGCCTTCAGGTGCTTTGGAAAATAGCTTAATTCCCTCTTCTTTATGGCAGCCCCTGAGATATTGGAATACTGCTATCATGTCCCCCCCTTGTCCTTCTCTTCGTTAAACTAGACATACCCAATTCTAGCAACCGTTCCTTATATGTTTTAGCCTCCAGTCCCCTAATCATCTTTGTTGCTCTTATCTGTACTCTTTCTAGAGTCTCAACATCTTTTTTACATCGTGGTGACCAAAACTGGATGCAGTATTCCAAGGGTGGCCTTACCAAGGCATTGAAGAGTGGTATTAATACTTCACGTGATCTTGATTCTATCCCTCTGTTAATGCAGCCTAGCACTGTGTTGGCCTTTTTGGCAGCTGCAGCACATTGCTGGCTCATATTTAAGTGATTGTCTACTAGGACTCCGAGGTCCCTCTCACAGTTACTACTATTGAGCATGGGGCCACCTATGCTGTACTTGTGCATTTGGTTTTTCTTGCCTAAATGTAGAACCTTGCTTTTTTCACCATTGAATTTCATTTTGTTAGTTAGTGCCCAGTGTTCAAGTATGTCCAGATCCTTCTGTATCTTAAGCCTGTCTTCTGGAGTGTTGGCTATTCCTGCCAGCTTGGTGTCATCTGCAAATTTGATGAGTTCCCCATCTATCCCTTCATCCAAATCATTGATGAAGATGTTGAAGAGTACTGGGCCCAGAACAGAGCCCTGGTGCACCCCACTACACACTTCCCTCCATATAGATGCAGTTCCATTGAGGACCACTCGCTGAGTACGGCCGGTCAGCCAGCTACGGATCCATCTGGTGGTGGTTCTGTCTACCCCACATTTTTCTATCTTGTCAAGTAGTAGGTTGTGATCTACTTTATCAAATGCCTTACTGAAGTCAAGTAAATTATGTCCACAGCATTCCTCTGATCCACTAATTTTGTCACTTGGTCAAAGAATGCAATAAGCTTTGTCTGGCATGATCTATTTTTGACAAACCCATGTTGGCTTTTAGTAATGACTTTGTTTGCCTCTAGGTGTTCGTTGATTCGTTGTTTGATTATCTTTTCCAGGATCTTCCCAGGTATTGAGGTCAGGCTGATAGATCTGTAATTTCCTGGATCCATTTTTTTTTCCTTTTTTGAGGACGGGAACTACATCAGCTCTTTTCCAGTCCTCTGGTAGTTCCCCTGTATTCCAGGATCTTTGAAAAATATAGTTCAGTGGCTCCGATATCACATCTGCCAGTTCCTTGAGAACTCTGGGGTGTAATCCATCTGGTCCTGGCGATTTGAACTCATCTAGGCTGGACAGGTGCTCCCTAACCATGTTCTTGCCTATCTTAACTTGTGTTTCTGTTTTGTTTTTTATGGCACTATTTTTGATAGGTTGGTCTGTTTTTTCCCTTTGTGTAAAGACAGATGCAAAAAATGAGTTAAATAGTTCTGCTTTCTCCCTGTTGCTTATATTATATTATATTATATTATATTATATTATATTATATTATATTATCAAACAATTACTGTAATATATCCCAAATGAAGAAACAGAGTAACCACTTTGCTTCTGCAGTGATGCTGGCAAAGGAATTGTGCTGATGTAGCTAATTCATGCCAGAAGCTTTGAAACAAAAGATGAGTTGGCAAGGGTGCCAACACCTAAGGCCCATGCAAGCATTCTTCTTTCCTAAGGAGTCTGAAGTGAAGTACACATGTGTACCATCATAGGTGAGCAATGCAAATGATGCCAGAGATGTCCTGAGAGAAGTGAGGCAAGACTAGCTGTAACATCTGCCAGAATAGGATGTTCCTTTGGGAAGGGACAGGCTGTATGACCTCTGGGTCTTCTGCAGCAGAAAGCTAGCTTAAGAATATGCCTTTACATGAATTAATATTAACATGCTAACAACCCCAGCAAGAAGCAGATGGATTTGATACACTCCGGCAGATCTTCTCCTCCTTGTGAAGATTACTTTCTTCCATTGCAAGCGATGACCAAGGCAAAGTATATAAATCTGGTGATGATCCTTATCTACGGGTATAAAGGAGAGGCCCTGCCCTCTTGGGCTTCATGTAGCTCAGGCCTTCAATATTAAGTAGTAAGACCCCCCCTCCCCAAATGCCCCCTTCAGAAGGAAACAGCTCCTGATTCCAAGCCATAGTCCTTCTCTGCCCAGGGAGAAAGTTAAAGAGAGTCCCCCGAAAAAAGAGGATGCAAAGAAGAAGGATACCTCGTCAGGCTCTTTCAAGTGAAGATAGCAAGCAGCCATGTTCCTGTACAGTTTTGCCAGGTTCTGTTGGTCTGTCTGCCCAGATGCGTAAAAGCTGAGAGAATAGTTGTACCACTGAAGGGCTTCAGGATAGCTCTTTGACTAGAAAACAGCAACCGGGTCTTAATGTTAGATGTGCTCTAAGCACGCGCCTATAAAAGGCAGAGAGGCAGGTTCCTTTCTAAAACCAGGAGAGAAATCCCCAGAGTTTCTCCTTTACTATATATTAACTAAAATTAGTTATTATAAGCTTAATCAGACACCCCCATCTCAATGCAAAACAAGGGACAAATCTTCAGACAAATGATGAACACAACACAAGACAGATATTTTCACAATATTAGTCACCTGCACAATATCTTTACTAGTTTGGAATATATTAAATGACAGATAATGAAGACCGTCTATTTACTCTATAGCATTATCAATAATCTTGGATTGCAACTTTAAGGTATTATCTGCATACTTTGAAAAGGATATGCTGACTTTGCTCAGAGGTAGTAAGAGGACAAACCTCGTAATTCTTAGCTGCTCTGTCCCACAGAACAAGGTGTAAACGGTTGAGTATTTCAGGAGGCAGTTGCTTTCCTACGCTGTGTGCTAAGAAGATAAATTTCAGTATTTCACTAATTCTACAAATCTGAAGAATGTCTATATTTCTAACTATATTGAGCAGTATCAGATCTAAGATCATCTATGACAGCTACAATAGCAATACTAAGCAAGATTTCACCTAAAACCTCAAAATACTGCTACTAAAATTTCCAGTAACACATTTCAAAAGTGGACTCTTGGAATCATGGTTAAAAGTAGAACAATTTAAAGATAAGCTTAAATTAATGTTAATCTTAAATTAATGGTAAAGTTATACAATTTTAATCAGAATGAAATTATAATTGCTGGATTTCTTAGCTGAAAAATTCAAGCAAAACAGAGCTTTTCACATTCTGCAAATTCCTTTCAGGTATCTACCCTAGAAGTATAATTAAAAGCTGGACACAGACCTGTGATGGCATCTTCGACCATTCCCTTGGCAAGTGGCTCCTTCATTCTCTGTAACAGGAGTTCGATGTGAAAGAGAAGGACTCTGCCAGCATCTGGGGATCTTTCGAACAGCTGGGAGGCTGATTTCAGAAAGTCAAATCCAATGGCTTCCCTGAATGTACATAAAAATAAGCTACGCATTTTGAGACCACGGAAAGCTAAAAGATTTAATATATTTCTCAGTAACAGAAACCTGACATCCTGTCCTGTGTTACTGTTCCAGAACAATCATTAAGGCATGGATTTTCTTATCAAAAGCTTGCTGGAGCACTCTGACAGGAATCAAATTGTAGGTCTGTGCATAGTACATACTGCTGCAATTGTGCTAATTGTAGGTCTTTGACTGAAAATGCTGCTTATCCAAATGTGTCTCTTCAAATCAATCTGAGCATCCAAATCAAGAATTATTAATCATCCTTTGTTTCATTTATTCCCACCTAGACAATGCACCTGCGCCTATTGCAGCTATCCTGCTACTGTGTAACTCTGGCACTCTGTCAGTTCACCTCCCTTTATTGCAAGATAATAAATCATAATTATACAACGTTGTAGAAAATTGGAGTTTGTTAAAAAACACACAAAGAAGATAGGTGGATGTCTTGGATATTCCCTAAATAGTCTTATGATAGACACAGAAGCCCAATTGTGTCCCAGAGGGCCCTTCGATCTTTATACCTCTCATGTTCAAGGAGCAACTTTGCAGTGTCCAGACAGATCTCCGGAGAAACCTCATGCTGCAGAAGTTCAGTGACAGCTAGAAAGCAGCAATAGCAAGGTTAGCATGTTTACTAAAAGGGTTTGTACTATATATGGGGGGGGGGGAATAAAGTGTAAGTACTTTGTCTTATACAAGATTGACTAAATAACCAATGATCCAAAGGGCCTCGATGGACAGAGAGACTGGAGTAATTTATATTGCTATGCAGTAGGAAAATGAATATATTCAATAATCTTTGCTTGTAGAAAGGAGGAAAGGAAGAATTCACATGACTGAATGTGGACACTTTGTAAAACTCTTAAGGGCTCCTGCATTCATTTAAACTTTCTTTCCTTTGTTCACAATCAAAGAAGTACATCAGTTTAATTTAAACCTGTACAAGTTAAAGTGAAGCTGCTACCACTTCTCTATTATAACTCAGACATCCTTTGGAGTGGTGATGTTGTTGATCTTATGCTGAACCAAGAATAATACCTTTTCTAATATCTTCATCTGATGCATCGCCTTTCAGGAGAATTTTAATTTTTAAGTAAAAACCAGCTGGATGTAAATTCTCCTGTAAATCAAGACATCAGGATATTATTTGATAGCCAAACTATTTTTATCAGATTCAGAGTACTGTATTTTTAACTACCTGCTGGGAGAGCACAGCCTATTCATAAAGAATGTCAAAGCTTTTCATGAGTAAATTCTCTATATCTTCTAGAACAATCTTAAATATCCTTAGCAATGGTCTACCTACTATTGCCAGATTACCAGTTAATAATTGTTTTTATTAGATTTATATCCCATTTTTTTTTTCTTACAAGCTCAGGATGGTGAACCCAATACTCTTCCCGTTTTCCCCAAGATAGAATTCTGGAAGGTAAATTGTAGTCCAAAGTCACCAGGGAACTTCCATGATGAAGGATGGACTTGAACCACACCAGTTAACCACTATGTGGCATTTAATCTTCCATTTGAGAGCCTCAGAAATCTTTTCCCTCAGAAGCCTCATATATAAAGAAATTAAAAAGTTATCTTAATAAATCCCAGAGACCTCAAACCATTATCCTCATTTTAAGCAGTAAAATATTATTTTATTCTCTCTTTGACATCATTTTGAATTAAAAAAAAACTATTAGGACCAACAAACTACACTGACCTTAATTTTATCAAATGCATAGAGATGAAATGAGATTTGTATGTATGCTATGCATACATAAACACTTCACTATCTATAGTATGCACCCTACGCATCTGATGAAGGGAATTGCAGCTCACAAAAGAAGATATCTTTTAACAATTTTTTGGGAAAGGTACTACTAGATTCTTTTTCCTTTTTTGTTGCCTATAGACTATGACAGTTTTCCTCTATGTATTATCCTGGGAGTCATTCTGATTGCCAAACTCTTAACAATTAGCCTAGCCCAGAAATCAACCTCACCTCATTAGCCATGATGATAGCCTGGAGAGCTTTCTCTTGATATTGTTTATAATCCCATTCCAAATACACAGTAGCTAATAATCGTAGTACTTTTGCCTGTAAATAAAATAAAATTAATATTTACACTCAAAAGGCTGAGAATTGGAGAGGGGCAATGAAGGTCATGTATCAATAATTTTCACACTGAATGATAAAGATATTTTCCATTGGATTACAAAGGTTTCTCACCTGCATTTCTTTACTAATTGAACAGTTTTTGTGCATCTTTCCAATTTCACAGCTGAGGCTATTTAATAAAAGAAAGAAACAGAATGGATTAACTGACCTTGAAGGGGAAAAGAAAATCCACCTGATTAATAAAAACCTGCCCTAAAGATGCATTCACAAAGGAGACCCACACTGTGTAAAAATAAAATGCCCAATGTCCTGACACTGTAGTGCAGTGGTTCTCAACCTGTGGGTCGGGACCCCATTTGGGGTCGAACGACCATTTCATGGGGGTCGCCAAACAACGCAGTCTGCCATTTTTTCCCCCTTTTCCTTAGCTGTGCTACTCCCTTTTATTCTATTGGGCTTTTGAAAGCCAATAGAATAGACTCTCTTGAATAGAGTCTAATTCTATTGGCTTTCAAAAGCCAACAGGAATTGTCCAGGCTGTCTCTGCCCTGCTGAGCCCGCCAAAAGTCCCATTCTGCAAACGGTGCTGTACCAGTTGAGTAGTCCTCGACTTACGACCGGTTGAGTAGTCCTCGACTTACGACCGGTTGGGGTCACGGCATTAAAAAGGTTGAGAACCACTGCTGTAGTGTATTTTGCAATGTTATTATTTGACATACTGCAACTTAAACACTTAAGAAATTGTACTGGAGATCTTCTATTGTAAAGCTATGAAAGGAACAGAATACAGAGGAGGTGAAGCTTTTTCCTCTATAGGCCAGGATACAGAGGCCTTCAGGAATACCTCTATCTCAGGGGCTCCCAACCAGGGGTGTGAGACAATATTCCAGGGGGTGTGAAAACTTGAGTTTTCAAAATTATAAGTGCATATGCATAATTCGTTGCCGTTATTTCAAACTTTTGTAAGGGGTGCGAGAATATATCAGAAGCATTCTAGGAGTGCAGGGTATAGAAAAGGTTGGCAACCGCTGCTCTATTTATATTATATAGTACAGTAATGCTTATTCTTTCAAATAACCTGGCTATAATGTTTGTTTGTTTTTTTGGCAAATAAGCACTGTGTTTTGTTACTTAAAACCCAGCATGCATGTATTATGCAAGCATTTGGAGAGACTGTGCAAGTTTTTTCTCTTTAATCCAAAAATAAATCACATGCACAAACCCTCTTTAAATGGCACCTTATTATAAGTAAACTACATCTGCAAGTTTACATAACTGAATAGTGATGACTGCTTTATTTAAGAAAAAGAATGTTGGAGTTAAGGGAATTCTGAAAGAAGCAACATCCAGAGTTTCTACTTTTTTTTTTTCATCAAACCACCTGGCCCTTCAAATGCACTTATAAAATTACCTTAGCCTTGACTACATCTGCAGCTAAAAGAATCTCTAAATCACTAGACAGAATCAGATCACTCCTTCTGATAAGTGCTTGTTTTAAATCTCAGTGGCTGTACATAGGGCAGAATTGGACATTTTATTTATTGCTTATCAAACTATTACCTAAGCCAAAAGTAATAGAGTCAAATTACCTGAGCCAAAAGGAACTCTGCTCATATCTCTTGAATTCGTATGTTTCTATGCCAAAGTTATAGCATAGGAGAAAAAGGTAACAAACCTGTAATTAAATTAGAGTAATTTATACCAGTTTTGTAATTGTTGTTTTAAAAAAACTGGGAATTAACAAAGTTTATTTTTTTCATAGTTTTGGAGGACCAGGGCAGTACAACAAAATGAAAAGGTGTTTAACCTGACCTCTTTTGGCAGCCTTATCAGGATGTCTTTACACCGTTGAACACACATGACCGCCTTCTGAAAATCTGCTAAAGCAACTGCCTAAGAAAGCAACATGATATGCTAATGAATTGCTTGGATGACCCATGGATTTCTTTTCAATTAATGTTTAAAAAATTAATAGAATTTTGCATTAGAGGAGTGCTAACAGATTTAGTAGCTATATGGGAGGCAGCAATCCAATGAACTGCACAATATAGATTGAACATAGAATTATAGAATATTGTTACTGTAATGTTGTTACTGAATAATAACAATACAGATAAAATCCACTTGTTGCCATTATGCCGCTACAATGAATTGATTATTTTTCAAACATACAGATTCAGCCTGGTAAGACAGAACTTTGAATATATCCCTCTGTATGTCAGCTTTGTGCATATTCGCCTCAGCCTCACTGCTGCAGTTCTTGTTCAGCTGGGCATAAAGTTTCTCTAGATCCTGTAAAATAAAGCACATAATAGGCTAAAAATACATGCAACCACTATTATGTCACCTACTAAAAACTTACAAATGTTAGAAAGCCTCAACTTACACTCAGGGCAATTTCAAGGAAATTACTTGCAAGGGCAGGTTTTCCAACATCCACCCAACCTTTTCCAGTCTTCATTAACATCTAGATCATAAAAGACATATGCAAATTTAAAAGAAAACAGAAATATTGGCAAATCTAGAAACTAGATATATTTCATGTAATCTTTTAGAGACTTTTATAATGTGGTTGCTTTAGGCATACTCTTCATCAACAATTATTTGTTAAGGTAAGAATATACATCACGCTATCATATTTCTACATCACTTCTCTGGCTTGCAACAAATCCAAACTACTGTCAATTTCTCTTGGAGACAGAATAAAAATTTGAAATGTATTTGAAAACAATATTCTTCTAACATTCTTGAACCTTATCAGCTCTTTAGCATTTCAGGAAGCAGAAGACAAACGTAAATAATATTTGGACACAAACTATATTACCAAAATTTGCCTTCGTATCATCTCCTCATTTGAATCACCTACTTCACAAAACATCATCAGGTTGCAGGCAACATGGCGTACTACAGAAATATGCAAAGACATTAACTATTTCAATTCTCAGTGAAAATATAGATAAGAAAACAAATATTTGTGACATGGAATAAATGCAAAATATCTGTAAACAGTAAGAAGGGCAACACATTTGTTAGTGATACATGCTGTGCTCAGTTCACCATTTTCATTTGTTCCAATTCATTCACTCCAGCATCAACTTCAGAAAAAAACATAACAAAACCTAATGTCAAGTATCTGCCTCTGAGTCCCTTTAGTGCTGACACTAGAAACAAAATATTTTTAAATTGCAAACACTATGATTTAATGGGGCACAAAAAGGTAGAAAACATCTATAGATTTTTCAGTAAGATAAGGACATTCATGAGAGGTCATACAAGAAGCTAAACATAAAACATTTTACTCATTTTAGTTAATCAAATATTTTTGCTGTGATTTATGGCTGCAAATTCAAACTGACATTTAACTCTTTGCATATCGGTGATACCAGGAGCTGTTTTTTTTGCCACAGTCCAATTCCATAAGTTAACTGCACTTTCCTCAACCTGTATGGAAAAAAAACAAGGACAAAAATTGAAAACCCTTAAAATTCATATAAATCATTTATATACAAATAAAACAGCCAAAATGTTAAAGCTATGCATTGATTATTTAATTTCATCATAGGACATTTGGAATTCCAGAAAAATGTAGAAAAGAGAAAGAGGAGCTAGAGGGACAAAAGAACAGAGGTGGACAGAAGATGGCCTGGCTGGTGCTGGCAGATCACTGCTAATCTGAGATGGATCAACAAGTATCATTTCACAAGAGCAGTTGGACCCTCTCTCTTCACTCTTTGCTCAATTATGCTGCTGTAGTGAGAGAAAGGTTTGGGCTAATGCATAGTAAGGTGTTCTACACCTTTGGAGATATGTGGAAGAGCCAATATTAAGTATTTAACTAACATATCAAATGTTTGTAATCAGATTTTTTGATGGGCTACTTCCCTAAATTTTCAGCCTGTTACCTTTAATGATCCTTGCTTTTTTTTCTCTACCTGGGCTTTCTGATTCTCTTTCCACTTTTCTTTATTTATACTTTCTATACTGCCGAACAGCTTCTCAATACTTTCTGATATAGCAAATAATGTCTCTTGGTTCATCAATTCTTGAATTAATCCTGAAAGAAATATTAGAATAAAGTAGAGGCAGCAAATTGTTTTCAAGTCAGACAACTTACATTTTCTTCCTCTTGTCCCAATAGCTAAATAAAATGCCAGAGCCCAAGGCTGTCAGCTGATGGGATTTAAATAAGAATTCTCCTAAGCCAGTGGTTCTCAACCTTTTTAATGCCGCGACCCCCCAACCGGTCGTAAGTCGAGGACTACTCAACTGGTGCAGCATCGTTTGCAGAATGGGACTTTTGGCGGGCTCAGCAGGACAATTCCTACTGGCTTTTGAAAGCCAATAGAATTAGACTCTATTCAAGAGAGTCTATTCTATTGGCTTTCAAAAGCCAATAGAATAAAAGGGAGTAGCACAGCTAAGGAAAAGGGGAAAAAAATGGCGGACTGCGTTGTTTGGCGACCCCCGTGAAATGGTCGTTCGACTCCAAATGGGGTCCCGACCCACAGGATGAGAACCACTGTCCTAAGTAGAGTCTCTCTTTAGGATTCGGCATCAGGGGTCATCTTGGCCTTGCTGAAAAAACTGCAGAGTGCAGTTTCCTTCTCTTCTCATTAGAAGCCGCCTGGACAGAAGTGAGTCAAGAGGAAATACAGTGCAGTGGGCAGTGACAGTCAGGAAAGGATAGAGGCCATCCTATCCAAATCTGATCAAGCCCAACCACAATCCTGAAGCAGGTGATGCCATCTCCTCAAACAGTCAACTGTCTGCTAGGGAAGTGGCCTGTTCCTGTATTTCCTAGCAGCATTGGGAAAGATTGTAAGAGGCTGTCCTTCTTTTGGAAGTTTAGATCTGTAAAATAATCCTACAACAATCCTTAATATGCTTAATATCGGTGGGATAACAGTGCCGACAGACACTCTAGTTCTGACCAACAAACTCAAATTGTTAAATAGAATCCAGAGCAGAATCAGAAATCTTTTTGAAACAACAGGTTTGAAAGAATCTGCACAGAGAAAAAAAAAGTTAAATATTTAATTACTTTATGCAAAAGTTACCTCTTATTTCCAGACATTCTCTTTCATCTTCCATTTCTGCTATATAGAATAACGGGCCCTTGAAAAGAATTTACAGTCTTAATTGGTCTAGTTTATATCTGAACGGATTATCTTTCCTACAATCATTTTTCCTACTTTGGGCATCCTTCAGCCTTTGCTGGGTTGACAGAACTGCAATGAGGACCAGCTTTCTGTTGACCCAGTGAAGTCCATTTGTTGCCCTTTCACAGCCTCTTTCTGGCTTGTTTTTACATTGTTAGCCAACCAGTCTTCTTTACAAATGTTACTTAGAAAATCTGTCTTGAGCAAACCCTATGCTGCCCTCTGGAAGGCCCCTGAGCATGTATAGGATGCCTCCTCCTTCTTACTGAAGATTTAATTTCCAATGGCCAAGAGATTGTTAGATGACTGAGGGGAAGAAATAAACTAAGACAATGATAAAGCCGAGGCAAGAGTGCTTCTGAGAATGTACTTCCATAGGAGAAGCTCACCAGCAAACTTTTCTTTGGGGAACAAGCTTTATATCATATTTTTTAAAAAGTGAGAATGAGTCCGATAACAATTTTATATCAGCAGGGGCTTGGGATCACCTTTTCTGAATAACCAATTTGATTAAAAGGTGTGGATTTTCATGAGCTGCAGATTAATCTGCACAGATAAAGTGCCTATAAATGTTCACACCTTTTAATCAAATTCTTCCTCATGTTTGGCCACTCTATCCAGTGTTTTTCAATCCTGACAACTTTAAGAGGAGTGGACTTCAACTCCCAGAATGCCCCAGGTGGAGAGTTCTGGGAGTTGAAGTCCACTCTTGTTAAAGTTGTCCCAAGTGAGAAACACTGCCCTGTACCGCTCTTCTCCGCCAATGCTTTAGGTCGGGCGTGCTTCTGCAACTGCACCTGGTGAAGCTGAAAGGAGCCTTTTATATCACGTCTTCCCCTGAAAGGAAGAGCCCCCACTGAAGGGGACGCCAGCCCACTCGCCAGAGGCCGGGAAAAGGGCCGCCCAGTTTTCCCTCGCTCCGCCTTCTGCGCAAAGCATGTCGGGAATCTCGCCCCGACCACCGAGGCCGAGCCTTTCGGGCGGTGAGGCTCGCCGCGCAGACCACAATTCCCGGCAACCCTAGCGGCCAAGCTGCTCGGGAGGCGCTAGGGCGCCCAATGAGGCGGCCTCGGGAAGGGGAGGGCTCTTCTGAGCGACAGGCGTGCAAGCCAATTGCCGATCGGCGGAGTTGAGCGCCTGAGGCCGCGCGGCTCGCCGCTCAAGATGTCGGGGACGGTCGGCGCCACCCTGAAGATGCTCACCCGGGACTCGTACTGCGACTTCAGCGAGTACGTGGAGCAGTCCTACAAGGTAGGGGGGCGCTTTCTGGACCCGCTCTACTCACGGCTGCGGCCCGCGGGCGCTCTGCGCATGCCCAGAAACCCGCGCCCGGCCGGAGCCCCTTCCCAGGACAGATCTTGGGCGCGTGTGAACGGGTGGGAGATAATGGATCCGTTTGCCTATTCTGGGGTTCACGCCTTCGGTTTGCCCGCCCCAGCTCTGGCCTTCGCTGGGCGCCTCGGGTGTCGCTCCGCCACCGGCGCTGCTTGAATAAGAGCGTCCCAGAATTCCTCAGCGGCAGTGGGAGGGCCGGCCGATGCGGCCGCCGGGCTGATGGGCCCCGCCGGGTTGCTTTGCAGGGGCGGAAGGAGCTGCAGGCGGAAGACCTGAAGACCTCCTCCACGCTGTACGTGGGCAACCTCTCCTTCTACACCACGGAGGAGCAGATCCACGAGCTCTTCTCCAAGTGCGGGGACGTCAAGCGCATCATCATGGGCCTGGACAAGAACAAGAAGACGCCCTGCGGGTTCTGCTTCGTGGAGTATCCTTGCCCGGAGGGGGGAGGGGGCCTTCTGGACCAGGAGAGTTTGCGGCATCTGCATTAAGGGTTTCTGTCCTGGTTGCTGTTCTCCGGGAGAAGCAGCCTGCTCTCTGTGACCTCGGAGCCTGATCTTGCGAATCTTTCCTAAAATAATACTCCAGATACTACACAAAAGCTGAAGCCGAGCATGCCATGCGTTTCATCAGCGGAACCCGGCTGGATGACCGTGTTATTCGGACAGACTGGGATGCAGGCTTCAGGGAAGGGAGGCAATATGGCCGTGGCAAGTCAGGCGGGCAGGTAAAGACGGGTAACTGGGAGGAGACTGCATCGAAGGCCCCACTTCACCAAGGGCTCCCTTTGGAGACCCCAAGTTGTGGTGCCAGATCTCAGAAGTTCAGAAGCACTGAAGTTTATTTTAAGTTTTGCCAGATCCCATAACACTTGAAGGCCGAGCCATCCAAGGGCAGGCACACACATCTCTGGATCTCACTTCTACCACTGTGTAGCTTCCCTCACTCGGTCACCTCCCAAATTCCTGTAATTACCCTTTATGGGAGTTTTTGAATGTATCATTCCAGGACCTGAGAAAGATTGCCTTTCAATTGTTGTAAGTCCCTGGCTTGCAAGGATGAAGGCTTCATTCATACCTGAGCTTTGCCTTGTTTTCCATGCAAAGTCCACGAGCCAAGGGAGGCTGTATCTGGGCTATAGAGCAAGCAGGAAAGAAAAATGTGCCAATTTCGGGCTGCTTCCAGGCTAAGATGCTTTCAGGCCTCTTCCTGAGTGACTGTCCAGGGCTGGCTTGTCTAGTGCCTATCCAGAGTAACAGGTGGTGGTGATTTGGTAAAGGCTGGCCTCCATCCCAGGGTGCAGACAGCCTAGTTTCTCTGGTCATCTTGATTTTATCTTGGTTTTTTTCCTCCCTCCCTCCCTCCCTCCCTCCAGGTAAGAGATGAGTACCGAAAGGAATACGATGAAGGAAGAGGTGGTTTTGGCAAGATTTTCCAGCCACAATTGGGGAAACAGTAGATGGAAGACAGGAGAGCTAAGCATGGCTTATTATCTTCTTGGACAGCTGAATAGAAGGGAGGGAGAAAAGACTTTTTTTTGCAAGGTGTAGTTCAAGACCCTTTTCCACCCCTGTCACTGTTTTTTATGCTTATCCTGGCCTGAGCTGGGATATGGTCTAAGGAACAACAGGGCACCCGTGGTGGAAAGAAATTGGAATCTTAAACAGCCATTTCTTGTTTCTTTTCACTTTTCCTGTATGCTGTCATAGTGGTTGTAATGTCTTGGGGTGTATAAATTGTCCTTAATGTTTCAGAGGAGAAATAAGACTGCAATAAAAATGTATTTGGTCTGAAGAGACTGTTTTCCTGGATATAATTGTTACCTTCTCAGGCAGACCCATTTAGAGGTCCAAGTAGTGTAGAATAGGGCTAGAAAACGACACACCTAAGGATGCCCACAGCAACCCATAGAAACAAATGTCTCCAGCAGGCTTTTCCCTCTGGTTTCTTCTAGATGTGGCTGATTGCAGCTTCTCAACTGGCATAAAGAGCAGCAATCCAGGGCAGTTGTCTCAGAGGACTTACAAAGATTTAGGGGGAAAGAAAAGACAGGGAGAGGGACCCTGCTGTAGTTTATATATGCAAATTTGCTGCTATCACTAAAAAGAAAAACAACCTTTTGTTATTTGTTAGTTACTACACGTCTTTTTGGCAGTTCTGGGTCTCTAGTAAGATGCCTGCTGGTGCCCTGAGGTTTCTGCCCATTTTTTAGCTGACCTAGCAGAATTGCTCCCACAGCCAAGGAGCTGTCCCTTCCCACCTGTCCTGCTGATGTCTGCAGGGAGTTAAGACTGAATTTGCTGCCAATTTGGCATTTGCGTTTTTGAGGCTGGAGCGTTTTGGGGAAATGTTTTTGTAGATTTGAGGTCTGGCCAGTAAGAGGCGCTACAATAAGGCATAATTTGCTCTCCCAAGTGGTCTCCAGCCACTGGCAATTAAAACCCCCCTTATCTCAAGATGATTTTCCGGTTTGAAACGGACACGTGACTTTGACAAGACTTGTCCAAGGAAAAGGGTGCCTGGGGTTTGGCTCTCTGATTTTTCGGCTTTTTGGCAATTCTGGGAACTCCTGGTTCGGTGTTAAGATCTGGTTTGAACGAAGCAACAGCAGGACAGAGAATAATACACTGTCGTCTTAGGAAGGTCAGTCCCAGCGAAAACTCCGGGAGGTTTGCCTAAGAGCAGCGGCCCGGGTCTCGGCTTGCGGGCAGTCTGGGCTCGGCAGTCCCGCCTTCCGCTCGGCGTTTGCGCCTCGGCCGATGCCAGATTTGGAGACGGGGGAGGCGAGGCCGGCTCCTTTGCAGCCGGAGGGTTCCTCGCCTGAGCTCCCCGCGCAACCGCCTCGCCCCCGTCTGCCCGCCTCCCCTCGAGGCCCCGGGGGAGCCCGCCCGGAGGAGGCGGTCGCTGGCGCTCGGCCCGCCCCTTGCCCGCGCTAGATAGCCCGCGCCCCGCCGGCCGCCTCCTCCCTTCCTCGCCGGCTGCCGAGGAGCTGCGTGGCCGCGGCTGGTGAGAGGGGCGGCGGGCGGGCGGGCGGGAGGGGAACCGTCCAGGTCGCGCGCCCCGTCCGGCGGGCCCCGGGTTGCGTCCGCGCGGCCGGCGGAGGGTCAACAGGTGCAGCTCCGCCTGCCCGCGCGCCCTCCTGCCGGCTCCGAGCCGCGCTCTCCGCCTCCGCCGGCCAGGGAGGGAGCGGCCGGCTCCGAGTCTTTCTCCGGCGCGAAGGCCCGTCTGTCCCGTCCGGGAAAAGTTTCTGGCTCCCGAGTTGGGCCGCCCTGCCTGGGACGGGGGGAGGAAAAGCGCCTCCCGGACCGGGATCGCGGATCCCCCGAGGAGGTTCATTGCAGCCTCGGGAGACGGAGGGGGCACGGCAGCCTCGCCCACGGGCCGGGCAGAGCGGGCGGGGCTCCCCCGCTGGGCCGGCTCGACTCCATGCGGGGAAACCCCTAGCCTGGGAAGTCAAGCTGGGTTTCCCCAGAGCTCCGAGAAAGTCCCGCTGCGGGAAAGGCTCTCTCTGCCGGGGGCTTCCCTTTCGTAAGTCTGAGCCTTTCCCGGCTGCTGCTCCTCGGAAGGAGTGCGGAAAGCAAGAGGAGAAGCTCCCCTCTCTGAATCCAGTCCTGCCGGACGCGTTCAGACGAGAGACTCGGCTGCTGGGCGTCTGCTCTGCCTTTCTCTCCTGCGCATTTTGGCGAGGCAGCTTAGGACAGGGAACTAAAGCTGGAGAGGGGACCCCCTGAGGGGGCAGAAGGGCCCTTGCGGGGAGCCCCCGCAGGGCCAGGAACGTTGCTTGTGGGGTCTCCTGCCTTTCATGGTGGCTTCTGGTTTCCCTGGAAAAGATCCAGACAGACGCTCCTTTTCCTTGTGGCCGGTTGCCTTTGTCCTGGGTGGGCTTTCTGGTCATTGCTCTCCCTTTCGCAGCCCAGGGCCAAGGGGTGGCAGGGAATGGGGGCCAGCCACGTTCACGCAAACGCCCACTTCAGACAGGCCAAGCCCTCCTAGCCTTCGGGCCTCGCCAGGAACCGCTCTGGAAACGGCATGCATGTTTTTGCCTGGCTGAATGCAAACAGGTGTGTTCCTGCGCGGAAGGAAAGTGCGTCATTTACCAGGTGCTAATTGCTGGAGATGAAAAGGGAGCTGCAGGCAGGAAAGGGGGACAAGGAGGGATCTGATCTTCCTGGCGCTCTCTTTCAGCAGATCCTTTGGGCAGCTGACTTTAAAGTTAGCCTCATTAGTGCTGCCTGACAGGTTGGGCTTCACAGAGCTGTGCTCTGGGCTTAGAAGGGTCTCAGAGCCGCTGCAGAGGCAGGAGAAGCAGTTCTCACTAAAGACCCTTCTGAAAGAGGGGCTGCTTTGTTTCGTTCTGCGGGAACCCTGAGATATTCAGGCTTGGATCCTTGTCTGGCTGAAATGGAGCACCAGCCTAGTCTTGCCCTTCCCCAGGTAGGAGGTTGATTTATTTGCCATCTGAAGTTCCTGCCCCTGAATTCCAACAAGCTCCAAGCATGTACTGGACATCAGAACAGTTACATAAAACATGCCCAACCAATAGACCGCTGCTGTTGCACCCAGTGCAGGGAACTGGGGAACCAGGATCTGTCTGGTTTCATATTTCATGTTAAGTTATAATTTGCTTACCCATAACTTGACAAACTACGTTTGACTAGTTTCATACACTGTGCCTGCAAAGCCATCAAAGCGTGCTATTGCGGGCACCCGTGAGAGCCTGGTCAGGGGATCTCACCTCTGGAGAGTCACCTGCTGGCCCCGCTTGGGGTTATCCTCCCAGTTACTCTTTACTTTGGATCATGGCTGCGCTGCCAGCAGCAGGAATGCCAGGCCTCTGCCCTCCTGGGTGGATCTCCTGACCAGTCCCTGAAGAGGGCTCTAAACAAGTGTGCCAGGCTCTGGGGTTAATGGGCAACCCTTTACCTGATCATCGAGAGGGACTTAGTTGGGTAACTGCATGCCTGGCCATTGCGGGGGGGGGGGGGAAGGAGGCCGGCCGGCCTCTGTCCCGGCTGGCTGATGCAACCAGGGATGCGGCTTCTGCTCGCTGTCTGTCTCTCGAGACCTTTGGCCCCATCAGTTCGCGCTCAGACGGTGATGTCTCGCTTTGCAGCCTTTACTCGCCAAGAAGCTGCAGCTAAAGCAGTTGCCAGAACCTGGGAGGTCTAAATTGGCAGGGTGATGCCCTCGTCTGTCACAGGTGCAGGGAGCGGCTTGTTTGCTTTTCCTCACATTTCCAGCAAACTCCACGGAGTGGAAGGCATTTTTTCTCGATGAGAAGGCACGGGGAATATTTAGCAACCCATTTGGAAAGGGCTGGCAAAAAGAAAGCTGGGAGCTTGGAAGAGAAAATTGGGTTAGGGATGAAGGTTTTCCCAGAGAGGAGAGAGTAGAAGGGAAGAGGAGGTCCCTGGCCTGTGTTGGGAGTGTCTCGGCGTGTAGGGGGCCCTTGGGATTAGAGCAGGCCCCTTGGCTGCCACCGCTGAGCAGGGGCTGAATGGCCACCGATGGCGGGTCAGTGATGCAGTGGTACATTTCCTGCTGCAGGAAAGATTTGGACTGCTCTCTGTGGTCCAATCATACTTGGAAAATTGTCTGAGCCGGCGAGCAAATAAGTGTGAACAGGGCCCCCTGCCCCACCAGCCCCACTCAAAACAGTTGCACTCGGGCTGCTTTTCCTCTTGCAAGTGCCCCCCCCCCGCTCCTTCAAAGGTGCGCATCATTTTCTAATAAGTTACGGCTGATGAACAGGAACGCATAAAGAGCCACCTCCCATATCCGCATTTCCCTGTTGGGACTCTTAATGGGTTGGCAGCTGGCAGAGCCCTTCCAGGCGTCTGCTGGGCTGGGCAAAGGAGTGGGGGTGTTTTCCTCTTTGCTAATTTAAGGAAGGGGAAAAAAAAATCCTAAAAAGAAAAACTCAGGCCAGGCTTCTGCGTTTGGAAATGTGTTAAATGTGAAATACATGTGGCAGGTCCTGCAGAAAATGATTTCTCTGCCTCCAGAAGCCCATTTTGTCTTGATCTGTTTCTAGAAAACAAAAAAGGTGTGGAAGTGACTTGCCTGCCTCTTCCTGGCTGGGGGGGGGGGGAGTTGTCTCTGAGTGCAGCCCCTCCTGCCTTGCAAGGCCTTGAAAATCAGGAATCTAGTCAGTGGTGGGATTCAGCCAGTTTGCACCAATTTGGCAGAACCGATAGCTAATTTTTTGTTTCCCAGGCCCAGAATGGACTTCCGGAAGCGGCATCCACACAGAGAACCGGTTGTTCACATATTTGAATCCCACCACTGAGACTAGTAAACTTGAAATCTTTTCTTCCTGGACTGCCAGCCTCTCTTTCCCCTTTGTCAGACTCCAAGCCTGGCCTGCGTCTGTCTTAATTTCTCCAGCTCATTAAATCTCTTTTCCCCTGTCCCCTCATTGCTCCTGTGAGACTTTGCTGGGCGAGGATTCAGGGGGGGGGGTTCCAACATACAGAAAGCCCCCAACTGAAGGCTGCTGCAAGGACCAGGGAGGATCCAGGGAGAGCATGCTTGAAATGCTGGTCGCTGGCAGACAGAGAAGCAGAGGGCTTCCCAAACATGCTAGTTGGGCGCCTGCGGACCCAACATTGGCATAGACTATGGATCTGTGTCCTGACCCGGCAGGCTTCTCCAGGTGTCTGACTGCACTCTCTGGATTTCTGAATGGGCCAAAGCTTTTCTTTAAGGGCCAGCTGGGTTTCTCTCATCTTCTGGCTCAGCGACATCCTAGCCATTAAACCACAGGGCGGGTTTTTCGGTTGGTGATTCTGGGGCAGGACACATCGCTCTCCGGCCACTGATTGTGGCCAGGCGCCCTCTTTGTTGCGTGTGAGGACAGGACCTCCAGCTCTCTGAGCAGCCAGGAATGAACTGGTCCCACAACGGCCACTCTATTCCAAGACCGAGTGCTGTTCCCTGAAATACCATTTGAATTTCCTGCACGTGCAGCCCGGCCTGGATGGGCCTGGGAGGATTCAGCTGCCCGGGTCCTCTTCCAGGCTGAAGGGACAAGCAGCCCAGGGCCTCTTCTCTGCCTTGAGTGCTGCTGGCATAAATTGGCCCAGAGGCTGCCTTCCTCAAGGGCGCTGAGGCAGCGATGGCATGCTTGGCCCCATCAGTCAGTGTCAGCGCCTGCTTGCTTTGGGCTCCCCCTTCCCGGCAGTAACCTTGGCTACGCTGCTGCTGCTGCTGCTGCACAGGCACTGGGGTGGCCTCTCTGCCCAGCTGTGGCCACATAAACTTGACCTTCTGCCTCCCTGTCATCTATTAATAGGCTCGGGTGAGGCTTCCAAACTGCTTCCTGCTGGAATGGCAAACTGTGAGTTCCGTTGCTCTTTTGAGTTGGCAGCACTTCATCAGGTGCTTTGCTAACTAGGCGGTCAGTGAGGTGTGGCAGGTCAGGACCCTGGAGGGAGGAGGTGGGCAGCACTGTAAGGTTCGGACACCTTTCCATTTGGGGCTTTTCCCACAATCTGGAATTGGATCGCTCAGGATAGCCGGCTGGTGGACTGTAATTAGCATCCTGTCCCCGGTATAAGCACCGGGGGCAGCCTTACTGGGCTTTGCAAGGGTCCCTGCTGCAAGGAGGGGGCCACGTGGGACGCCAAGGGGGCAGGAGCAGCACCAAGGAGGCTCCCCCTTCTTGTCTGACTGAATGACCCCCTGGCAGCTGTGCTGACCTCCTTAGTGGGGAACTGTGTTTTGAAAGCTGCATTCCAAGGAAGCTTTTCCTCCAGCGAGAAGGGGCTTTGTGGAAATTCTCACGTTGTGCCTGGCCACTCATTGACAGAGGGCCAACGTTACAAGCAACCCTGGCACCTGGGCACGATTTTCATTTGCACATATTTATGCCTGCATTTGCCAGCCCTTCTGCCGTATGGCTAGCTGAGCCAAGGCAGTCTTTGAACTGCTCCCCTTCCGTGCCTCTCAAATTGTGGCGTATTCCTGCTTCCCCTCTTCAGGGGCCCTGTCTTGCGGAGGTCTCCCCAGGCGTCCTGGCGGCACTGTCTGCTGGGAATGAGCAGGGCAGGCCAAGGAAGACCCTCCTCTGGAGATGCTTTGCTGCTTCAGCCCTCCCTTGCTAGACAGAGAGGGAGTTGTTGGGCTGCCCGTCCTGTATGTTGGGATGGCGGTCTCTGGCACCCCTCTTGGGAGCCGTCTCCTAGCTGATGGGAGTCAGACCGGAAGCTGACTCTGATGACCTGCATAACCGGTCTGGCCTTTGGAGGAGGCTTATCCATGATGGCAGGGGATCTTCTCTGGACTCCGATAACCAGCCGCTTCTCCTGCCTTGCAGTCCCCACCAGGGAAAACAAAGTCCCGTTCTTTGAGTTGGGGTGTCTGAAGCTCTGGGCCTGGCCAGAGAGTCAGGCAGGGTCCTCTCATCTGCTCGGGGTTTTCATTTGCACACAAAGGCTCTGGAGTGCTGAGTCCCCCCCCCCCGGCCCACCTCCCGCATCATGTGTTCCTCTCTTCTTCCATGCCAGACACTTTTTCAGCTCCCCCGCAAAAGTAGGCAACGGCAACAGGAGCAGAACCCCCATGAAAGTGGCCGGCAACCCTTCCGAGGGCACTAGACTCCCAAGGCTGGCACACTGGCAGGTTTTGACGCTTAGTTGTGCTCCATCACTCCTGACAGCAGATTGGTGGAAGGATAAATGAACCGTCACAGCTGGGCTTTTGCACTGGCTGAAAAACAGCCTGGAAGTGCTGACTGGGAAAGATAAATCAAAGCTTTGTCTGCTGAATTTTTGTAAGGATTTTCTGGTGCACCAGGGTGTGTGATCCCAGAAGCTCACGCTAGACATGACTGGGCAGCTAGTGGGAATGCCTCCCCTCCCCTGCCCGTGGGGGGGGGGAGGTGGAGGAGGCTTTTCCCCTTGCGCTTATGGGAACATCTGTCCGAGGCAGTTCAGGCACTTTGCCTCGTGGGAAACGTGGCAGCTGAGGCCAAAAGGTCTGGAGTTTTGCTGGCACAGAGCGGAACCTGGCACTTTGTCCAGCCTGAGAACTCTGCTTCTCCTGGGAGATCTTTCAATTATCTTCCGCTGGGCTGGAGAACAGACCGTTGCCCAGATCCACTGCGGCAGTCTTGTTTTTCCTCTTGGAAGGAACCTGTTGCAAGGTCACAGATCCTGATAGCTTCCAAACTCTGAGATGTAAGAAAAAAAATCTGAGATCTCTGAAGAGTAAATCTGAGCCACGAAATCCCAGAAAACCCACCCATCTCCCCAGGGATCTTGATTAACTGTCCCCTCTGGGAGTCCTAATGGGAAAGAGCAGGAAGAAAGGGGCGAGTCTGACGGGTCGAGGGCCAGTGTGGAGATGAGTGCAACAGACACAAACAGAGATTTTGATTTCGTTCTCCTTAAGGGGGCAAGAAAGGAGAGGAAACTCACTAGGGATAAATTCAGTTAGTTTAGGGCAGGCTCTGCAATATTTGATTTTGAAACAGGTTTCTGCATCTTTGAATTGCTGCTGTTTTTCCAGACCTTGCCTATCTGCTTTTTTTTTCCTCACTAAAGAGATCCGACTTGGGTTTTCCCTTCCGCCTGTACAAGCGTGGCCCTGATTTCTCAGCTCCTGCGGGATAGCTGGAACTGCCTGCCCGCCCACTCCCAGCCGAGGAAGGGGATAGTCATCAATCTCCACAGACCGTCACTCTGGAGAGAGGAAAGAGGCTGCCCCTTTTGACAGAGCTATCCATCAGCTGATAGATGGGCCAGGCCCATGGCACCGCAGCATTGAGCATTGATTGGAAGCAGAGCAAAAGATGGAGAGCCACAGGCTCTTCCTCGCTTTCCCCACCCTGCCGGCCAAATCAGGTTGGGTGCCTATTTTAATAAAGATCCATCTATGCCGCACCAGAAAAGGAGAATTCCTGGGCATGCAGCTCCCATGCTTGACATTCAAACCAAGATGCGCTTGGACATCCAGAGAGAGCTGCCACTTTCAGGAGAGAATAAACAGCTCCTGGTCCTGCTCTTTGCCTTTGTCTAATCCTGCATGCAAAAGCCATCCTTTCTTTGTGGCCAGCCCCGCCCCCTCTCTCCTGCGCAGGGGTAGGAGCCATACCAAGCTCTGTTTTTTTAACTCTGATTAATGAGTAAAGTCCAAGCCACATTTGCAAATCGGCTAAGTTATAAATCATGGTTTACAAACCGTTGTGGTTGAGTTGGAATTTACTAGGCCAAAATCACGCCAGATCCGTCGCAGCAGGCCCACCGACTTGCTGGCAAGAGTGGGAAGGAAAGGCCCGCACTGGGCAGCAAAATGAGGCAAAATCTGGGGGTGGGGGGGGGAAGACTCATCCTGCCTGATTCCACCATGAAGCCATGTGCTGTGTCTGATGAGGGGCTTGAGGGTCTTGTCCAGCCTGCCTTGGCTCAAGTTTGTTCTGTTGTCTGTTAATTGAAGTTAGCTTAAATTGATTAATAACTGAAGGTGCCCTCCTGATGCTTATTCCAACGAGCAGCTTGTGTAAACACAATTAATCCAAGTAGTCTTCCGGGGTCTGTTTCCCTTTGCTAAGTTTTGCAAAGGTCTGCAGTGCACAAAGGTGCAATGTGTAACCGCAACTGGCTTCCTCTGCCGCTTTGACTGAGCGTTTTTCCTAAGATGGCGGCCCTGTTCCTGGCTCTCTTAAGCCCCATTTTCTTTACGGTACGCAAACAGGCGGACGGGCATATGGATCTCCACTCTGCTAAAGACATCACTTCCAGAGTAATCTTTGGGAGCCTGGTGCTCTGAGTGTGATTCCTGTAGAATCCACTTGTGGATGGTGCAAGAAGGCCTTTCAGCCAATCAGGAGATGTCCAAAACAGAGCTGACCTGAAAGGAGGAAAAGAGGCTCTGGTGGGGTAACCCACCGGCCAGCCCAGGCACCCACAAGGCTGGCTTGGGTCTGCCGGACCCCTCCCCACTTGGGTCTGACTGCAGGCCTCCCTCCCCACTGCTGGCTGACAAGCTCTGCTGTTTTCTCTGCTAGGTCCTTTTGGGAGACGGGACGTGGCACCACCATTTGCCAGGATGCTGAAGAGAACCTTGGCCAACTTTGGCAAGAAGCTGATCCGGCAGCGGACTGTGGACCTTGGCTCGCAGGACACTCAACTGGCCCGCTGCCTCTCCACCGTGGACCTGATTGCTCTAGGCGTAGGCAGCACCCTTGGGGCGGGGGTCTATGTTTTGTCTGGAGAGGTGGCCAAGGATCAGGCTGGCCCTTCTATTGTGCTCTGTTTCTTCATTGCGGCCGTCTCGTCTGTTTTGGCTGGCCTGTGCTACGCAGAATTTGGCGCCCGGGTGCCCAAGGCTGGTTCTGCCTACCTCTACAGTTATGTCACCGTTGGGGAAATTTGGGCCTTCACCACAGGGTGGAACCTCATTCTCTCCTACATGATAGGTACATAGCTTTCCGCTCGGAGCAAAGACTGCTGAATGAGGACTTGAGAATGTCTTAAGATGGAATACTCAAAGCACAATTGGGATTTGCTTGCAGCATGAAATCAGGGAAACACCAGTTAGTTCATGTTTACCATGAGCTAAGTCAGGGGGTCCCCAGGCCTGACAACTTTAAGACTTGCAGACTTCAACTATGAGAATTCCTGATGGCTGAGGAATTCTGGGAATTGAAGTCCACAAGTCTTAAAGTTGCCAAGTTTGGAGACTCCTGGGCTAAGCCATCTCTGAATTGTGATGGGTTCTTCTACAGGAGTTTTCCTCAGAGAGTTCCGCAAATATGCCAAGACATCAACTCTGTCAAAATTGTAGGACAGGCTTTCTTAGAAATTACCTGCAATATTTCCTGAACCGCAAAAATTAGGGGTTCTCCCAACTGCTACGACTAGGGATTTGACGAGAGTCAAGAAAAGGACTATCATCTGTAGAAACCATATTGAATTGTTGGCATTTAGTGCAGTTGCCAACCGTTCCTCATCAGCAATGATTTGGACAACTCGAGCTTTAAAGTTGTCTTTCAGCTCTGGAGGTGTGAGTTGGAGGTGACCAGAGCAAGAACAGCAAAAGCTGTTTGACAACAAAATCCTCATTTTTCTTTCCTTTGTCCATCTAGCTTCACTCAATGTGTTTGAGCTGGTGGTAGAAATAACCCATTTTCTGAATTTGCACAGCAAGTGATAACCAGAAACGGGGGGGGGGGGGTGGTCCCTGGTGCTCTCTGAGCTTGGTCGTTTTCTTGCAGATGTTTCATGATCCAAACCAGGTAACATCATCAGTGCTAGCCAAAAACTGGCCCATTGGGGCAAGGTTTACATGACATGCGGACTCACCAACCAAACCAGGTCTTTTGCTGAGCTGGTTAAGCATGTTCCAAGGTGTGCTGGGCATACACTGAAGGTGTGAGCATGGAGTGCTGTGTGTGCTGCTGCTGCTGGATTGGGAAGGCGGTGGGATCCCTCCAACCTTAAGGGCTGGGAGATCTTTTGAGCCCCTCTTCCCTCCTCTCCCCTTGAGAAGGGGCAAAAGCCCCTTCCGGTCCTGCAGGGGAGATGCAGACCGGAGACTGGCTCCAACTCATGAAGGTGCTGCATTGCCTCTGCAGGGACAGCAAGTGTGGCTCGGGCCTGGAGCTCCACCTTTGACCACATCATTGGGGGCCACATCTCCACTTTCTTCCGGAATCACACAGCTTTGCATCTGGAGGACGTGCTGGCTGAGTATCCCGACTTCTTCGCCCTCTTCTTGGTGCTGCTGCTCACAGGTGAGGAGGCATCTCGAACGGCCTTGCGAACCGCCGGGCTCAGGCGGAGGCTTCCTCTCGGCCTCAGGGGTTCATTGCAGGCCAGAGTTAGCCTGTTTGTTTAAGAAGGTTACACCAAACATTTCTGCTGTGAAATCTCTCAAGATGCCGTACAAATTTATTGAATCTTAAGAAAACAGAAATATATAAAATATAAATGCCACGTTTTGCATTCAGATACAACAATGCTGATAGCAAAAAGTGCCTTAGGGACCCGATGGATTCTCATAAAAGATATGCCTGGCACGGAGATTGTTTTTCTTTCCTTTTCTTAACTCTGGATGCGGAGATCGGTATAAGATGGGCAGCTATAAAAACGTTTAAACAAAGCAGGGCAAGGGGAGATTCACAGCGGGAAGGAGAACATTTGCTTCATGCATTGATAATCTACTGCAGTGCTTCTCAACTTTGGCAAGTTGAAGGTGGGTGGACTTCAACTTGCCAAGGTTGAGCAACATTGACCTCCTGCCTTGCCTGATCCCAGAGGAGTCCATTAATGATCAGCCAGTTGAGAAGGGATGTACATGAGTCATGAGAGAAGAGTCTGCCGCTGATAGCAGGACGGGCATGCCTTTGAAATCAGCGGGAGGGGGATGTTGCACGCCTTGACCTGCTGTTTGGTCTCCACAAGGTTGAGCAATTGGCCGTAGTAGGAGCAGAGAGCTGAACTGAACTGTGTCTGGAAACTGGCAAGCTTTCCGTTGCTATGCTGGGCCTGCCGTCTTGCAGATTTTGACATCACCTGACTCTGCCAAAATGTGGCTGGACGGACATTTGATCTGATTCCACGAGGCTCTTGGGTGCTTAGAAAGTAATTGCTGCTAAAACTCAGGCAAAACGAACATGCTGAAGTTGGTAATTAAAAATAGCCAGGAAGGTGCCAAGTTGCAGCTTGGGTACAGCTGCAGAAAGGGCCCACATTCCCCATCGCCTGACCTCCAAAGAACAACAGAATTGCATTAAGAGATGGGTGCCACGATGGCACAGAAGTGGACTTCAGTGCTGACCAACCTGGCCCGTCTCCGGCCTCCGGAGCAGCCACGTTAGGAAAGCTTGAACCCCAGATTCTTTCCCCTGAGAAGCAACCACACGCCCTCTCATTTATTTTGCCTCCAGGCCTCTTGTCGTTCGGTGTGAGCGAATCTGCCCTGGTGAATAAAATCTTCACGGCCGTCAACTTGCTGGTCCTCAGCTTTGTCATTGTTGCGGGTTTTGTGAAAGGAAATGTCAAGAACTGGAACCTGTCCAAGGAAGATTATCAGAACCACTCACAAAATGCCTTGGAGTCTGAACCCAAGTACGGGCCTCCTCCCCAGTCGTGGCTCCCTCTTAGCTTCTCCAATAGGCGGGGTGGGTGGTGGGTGAAGGTTGGCACCCCCTCTCCTATCCCCCTTGCTCCAGTGTAGCATCTGCTGCCACAAACTTTCTTTTGGGGGGCGGATGGATCTGTGGTAGCGGCCGAAGGGAAAGCAGGAGCAAGTTGGGAAGAGTCCTGGGGGCAAGATGGGGGACCCCAGGCCAGCTGGAGACTGGCACCCCTCTTTGAAGGGCTGCCCCACATGGAGACTGCTTTCCTCCGGTCCTCATCTGCCTGCCTGTCTTCTCCAACAGGGACTCCTTTGGCAAGGGGGGGTTTGTCCCCTTTGGCTTTGAGGGAGTCCTCTCGGGGGCTGCCACCTGTTTCTATGCCTTTGTTGGATTTGACTGCATCGCCACCACAGGTAAAGTAGCGCTTTGGAGGTGGTGGAAGGGCCGGTGGGAAGGCCAGTGGGGAGGCGTGCTAACTGGGCCTGGTTCCAGGCTGGGTCCAGTAAGTTAACTGTAAGGAGGGAGAGTTGAAGATGGCCATGCTGGGAAGGTGCCTTCAAGCTCTTGAAGGAGAAGCTTCAAGAGGGCAGAGCACGGGCCTTCTCACTGGTTTCAGAGGGCAATTCTAGAACTGGGGCTTGTGGAGCAAATTTGGATTATTCCTAATAACTAAAGTGGTTTGGGGAACATGGCAAGTAGGGAAAGATGCTTAAGCAGCCATCTGTCGAAGGTGCTCTGCTGCCCGTCTCTTGTGAGGAGACGGGGGTTTGGAGCGAGGGGTTCAAGTCAGGCGCACCCTGCGTGCCCCTCAGGTGTGTAGGAACTAAATGCATGAGCACTGAGGCTCAGATTCCCTGTTCCGCCATGCCATTTTTAAGCAACATGCTCATCATTTGAGCGACAGATTATGGCCAGTGGTTGCCAGTGCTGTGGCTGCTCGGCAAGCCCACTTCACAAGGCAGAGTCTGGGTCTGTGGGAATGGTGTTGGCAGGAGGTCCTTTAACCTTAGTCGACGTTGGGTATGGCAGGGCAGGGAGAATTTCATTGGATTCTCACCTGTGCTATTCTGCACGTGCTCCCCTGTTCTTCTACAGGTGAGGAAGCACGGAACCCTCAACGTTCAATCCCCATCGGCATCATAGTCTCCCTCCTCATCTGCTTTGTGGCCTATTTTGGCGTTTCGGCTTCCTTGACCTTGATGGTCCCCTATTTCCTGGTGGATAAAGAGAGCCCTCTGCCCGATGCCTTCAAGTCAGTGGGCTGGGAGCCCGCCCGTTACGTGGTGGCCATCGGCTCCCTCTGTGCCCTCTCTACCAGGTAAGAGAAACGAAGGGAGCTTGTTCGGTGGAGCCAGAAGTCCTCATCTCTTTGTTGGCAGGATTTATAGGTGTCTCACCAGGATGACTGACAGTTGACTGGTCTATTGATTCTTGAGCTCAAAACAATGTTTTTTAAGCACGGAAACCAAATCAACCAGGGTTTTAAACAGGCCATTTTTGAAGGAAAGGGTAAGAGAATACGATGGCAGTTAGAGGTTCGAGGGGAAAAAAGTGGCAGGATTCTGTGGTTTGAAGGAGAGTAACCTGCCCAGAAGATGAACATATGTCAGGGCAGAAGGATATGAGAGGTCCTCACAGAGAAATTCCTTTTCCCAAAAGTTGCTGCTTAAACCATGAAAGGCAGAAGATCCGGAAAGGCCTTTTCATGAGATATTGGCCAGTGAGCAAGCATTTTGGAACAGAGGCAACCCCTAGATTATGCTTTATTGAGAGGCCTGAACCACCATCCTAAACAGGGTCCTGGAGCCAAGTGGAGAAACCCCACAGGCCACATTCACACGCCTGTGGCCATCAGTGGGGTCTGGTTTCTTTCTCTCCCGTGCAGTTTGCTTGGCTCCATGTTCCCCATGCCGCGAGTGATCTACGCTATGGCTGAAGACGGACTGCTCTTCCGGTTCCTCTCCCGGATTCACAGCCGGGCCAAGACTCCCTTGGTGGCCACTGTGGTCTCAGGCATCATTGCAGGTATCCGTCCATTAATGGATCTCCCCCACTCTCTTTCTCTGTGATTCAGATCCAGAGATTTTTACAGCCTCTCTTCTCTTACAGCCCTGATGGCGTTTCTCTTTGAGCTGAAGGACCTGGTTAACCTGATGTCTATCGGCACGCTCCTGGCCTACTCTCTGGTGGCTATTTGTGTGCTCATCCTCAGGTGGGGCCTCTTGTCTCTAGGTGCTGATCCCTCAGGAGCTTAGATGGTGGGCAAGCGATGAATATTGTAGTCCACAACTGGAGAAGCTGCAGTGGAGAAGGTTGAAAATGGGACCTGGCCTTTGGGTCTTGATTGTCCCTGGGCTCATGGCTGTGTGCAGAGGGACTAATCAGGAATACCACTCTTGCTTTCCTGATAGATACCAACCTGAGCTATTGAGGTTCTCCAAAGACCTGGAAATGCTTGAGATAAATGGAAGTGAAGAAGAAAAGATGACCATTAATTCCACAGTTGAGGATAGACAGAATGCATTGAAAGAGACGATCACCTGCAGGAGTCTTTTCTCCCCCTCTGAGGACATCCCAACCCATGTCTCGGGGTGCATCGTCTACATCAGCAGCACTGTCATCGGTAAGTATTACTGGAGAGAGGAAGAAATTGGGTGCCGTTGCAGTTGGGGACACCAATGGCTGAGGCTGGGGGATCTCCAGAGGCGGCCGGAGTGAGCAACTGCCCAGGCTTGGCTCCTTTGCAGGAGACCAAAAGAAGAGCAGGAAGAGATCAGAATCAGGTCCCAGGGATTCCGGGGTTGAGAGTTTACAGATGAGTGGCTTCACAGGAGTGGCAATTGAAAAGCTCTAACCTGCATAATCCTTCCTTCCTTTTGGTCTTATTTCCTTGCAGCTGTCATGATCACTGCCCTGTGTGGTATCCTGGCCCATCAGAGGCGAGCCCTCCTGGAGGGCAGCATTGGCTGGATCATTGCCTGTGTCATTCTCCTGGGCATTTTGCTCGCTGGCACTGTCATCATCTGGAGGCAGCCAGAAAGCAAGACACGCCTCACTTTCAAAGTAAGACCTGTGGCCAGCTCTTCCTCAGGGGGCCCCTGTGGGACGGGGAGGAATTGCTTTAATCGGAACCTGGCCCTCAATTGCGCTTTGCCATGGGCGTTATCGCCTGCCTTCGAGCCAGGTTGGCTGGCCGCCTTCCTCCCTTGCCCTCTCCCAACTGGCCTCCTCTTCCTTTCCAGGTGCCTGGCCTGCCGTTGCTCCCCCTCTTCAGCATCCTGGTGAACATCTATCTCATGATGCAGCTCGATGCAGGAACCTGGGCCCGCTTTGCTGTCTGGATGGCTATCGGTAAGGAGCTGGCTACTCTCTGGCAAGAGCTACCTGGCGCAGAACCTTCCCCGTGTGTGGTGATCCCATCTGGGCAGCTTGGCTGTCAGGATCGGAGCCGCCGGGCACGCTCTCACAATGAGGAACTTTGTCTCTTTCTCAGGCTTTGCCATCTATTTTGGTTATGGGCTCCAGCATAGCGAAGAAGGGCAGGGGGCCCAGCAGGCCCAGTCAGCCACCGACAAGGCCCTGTGCTCAGCCAACTGAGCCGAGCCAAGAAATCGCGATCTGAGAGAAGCTGCTTCTTCTGTCCTTCTTCCGCTGCCGTGGACGCCCCTCAGTTCTTGTCTGCCTCCTGCCCCCCCTTCAAGAAGGAAGCCGTGGCACGTGGGACCTTCACTGGTACATTGGACTCCACCTGTGGCAGCAGCTTCATTTTGCAGAGGAGGTGAATAAAGCAAGCTGGGACAAAATTTAGAGGGCAGCCATTTCTCCTAGGTGGGATCGGGTGGGGAGAGTGACCTTCAGACGAGAAGCTGCCACATATGGTTTATTTATTTACCCGGCTTTGCTGGCTAGATTGCCTTCCTCATATGTAGATGTATGTAAAAGTGTCAAATGTGAAGAGTCCCCAAATGTTCTCCAGGACAATAAGTCTAGTTTTAACTATTGCTTGTATGACATTTTTTTTTCAAAGATGTTACATTTTTTTTAATATGAGTACAACTCCATGTTCTTAGTTGTTGTTGTTTTTAAGTTGGACTCATCTGACCCACCGTCAGTTTACTTTCTTTGTAGGCTTATCTCAGACGCCCTTGCCATGGTTCTCCAGCAGAAGAAGTCTGGCGGCCTCTGTAAATTTAGAGAGTTGTAGCAGTGCAGTATTAGGCTGGAGCATAACTGCTTAAATAATCACTGGGGTTCTGCTGTTCTTCTTGCCAACCATTATCAAATAGGTTCCTTGGGTTTCTCAAATAAAATCAAACGGATTATTAGTGCCAACGGTATATAAAACCGGCTTACCCAATATGCTCGCATATACGGATTCGACATCCTGTGCACATTCAGCCCATGATAGTTTATTCATGAGAGCAGGCTGTAGTGCCTTGAATGAATCGGCCCAATAGGCGGGGCTGAAGTGGGGTGAGAGGGCCAAGGGCTGATTAAAGTCATAGTAAAATAAGTCAGTGAGCTATCATGAAACTCAGTCTGGAGATAATCACCACAACACCAGCATTATGGGCTCCCCCATGCTGAGAGGTGATGATGCAAGAGGAGTGGAGGGAGGCTGGGCAGTGAGCTGCCAACAGGACAGCACTTGGCACCAGAACCACCACCACCTACTGGGCCAGAGATCGGGGCTAAAAATGGAGGCCAAGCAAGCGAGTAATAGCCTGCTGTGTCAGGTTGCTTAGAATGAAGCCACCAGCGGACCACAGCTGGCAGCGCTCAAAGCGAAGTCACTGCCAGACTCCATCTGTTGCAAAGATGGCAAAGCCAATAAACCGTCACTGGTTCCAGAACAGGGTGGAGATTTTTTCCTCATAAAAGAAGCCAAATATACTGTCCAGCTAGTGGTTTCCTGTTTGGGCGCAACCTGAAACTGGCAAGGAAATTAGTCTCTAACTTGGAAGGCACCAGGTTGGCAAAGACAGGATTGGGGTAACTTGTTTTCTCCAGCTGTTAAGGGAAAAGCTGGGTGCTTTCTATCATGATGCAGATTATTTACCTTTGACTGGAAAAATAATCCTGAGAATTCAACAGAAAGCTGGATAGTGACGTTTGTTGTATGTACGCAAATACACTCCACTGACATCAGAAGACCAGGCTTTCTAACAACTGCACCAGGGCCAAGTGCTATAATGTCAAAGCCCTTGCAAACTTCACGCAGCTCTGTTCCAAGTCTTATGATTAATTTCCCCAACATTTCCAAAAGCAAATTGTGAACGTGCAGAGCCAACAGTGAATTTGTTGTATTTTGGAAATTAGCTTTAGGAAATTTAACGTTTCCTCTTTCTGAAGGAGATTTGGGTCAATCTCAGTTTAGGGTTAGTAATTCAATAGCAGAATCTACATGGGCAGAAAGTCCCACTGTGTCTGGAACCCACCCTGAGATAAAAGGGCCAGTTCAGCAAAGGCTCTAACCTTACATTATTCTGCAGCCTTGCTCAGAGCAAGAGGGGAGATTTCCAGTTGTTTTAACAGAACTTTGTTGTCTTGTTTGAACATCTACATGTGCACAAAAGTTCTTCAACATGAATATAATACGCAGCATCTTAATGCATTTGTTGGACCAAATAAAATGTTGTGCTATTATTTGAGTGTCCTCTGTGGTTTGTAAAATGAAGATGAGAACACATGCAGCCATTTCAATGGTCTGGGTGATGTTCTAGAGCCGTGGAGAGGAAGAAAACCTGGCTAGGGAAGAGAATGAGATCCATTCATTTCCATCTAGAAGTGCCACACTGAGTTTAGACGAAGTGAAGAAAGCTCGCCCTACAGATTTCAGCACAAAAGAGGAAAAACCAGCCCTGCAAAAGATAATAAAGACACCAGGAACCCGACCGGGTGATGCAATAGGAGAGCAGGAAAGCTGGCCGGGTTACATAAGCTGAGCAGAGGCAAAGTGCTCTCCGCAGCCGGCCGCAGGACGGACTTCTTCAGGACTTGCACAGAGGCAGCAGGGGAGGAGGCTGGGGGCCGCGCTGCTGAGGAAGGGGCCATACTCTGCCTAGAGGGCCAGGCCAGAGGCTCCCAGTTTTGGCTAACTGCCATCTGTCGGGCAGAGGGGAAGGCTTACCAAATGCCAGATTCCAATAAACTCTTACAAGCAATTTGATTTAGCCCTGAGCGCCTGGCCTGCTTCCAGCTACTCGGTTCTGACAGGCCCCAGGAAGCCAAGGCGGACGGATAGCTGGCCACTGATTTCCTACCAGAGCACCACTAAAACCAGCGAGGAAGACAAGCTTAATTGAATGTCAAAGAGACAAATGCTCCAGCTAGCTATGCCAAGGATGACAGAAGAGAAGGTAAACTTAAGAAGTCCCATTAACTATGTCAATATTTCTTTTAATAGATATTTATCATATACTCCCGAGCAGCCCTTTTCAGAATGTGGCTCTTGAAAGGAAAGAAAGAAAGAAAGAAAGAAAGAAAGAAAGAAAGAAAGAAAGAAAGAAAGAAAGAAAGAAAGACCAAATGAAGACACATGTAAAAGCATCCATTCAAAACTATCTAGAAAGTTTAAGTGTCTTTTTAACAGAATCCATGTCTAGATTCTTCTCATTAGTCTCTACAGTTCCAGCAAGTATTAACCACATTCAGGACAGAGAATAAATAGGGTCAGATGTTTTCTAAACTTATAATGACTGAAAAAGTGAATAATTAACGAAGAGTCTCTCATTCAATGTTTCTAGCACCACTCAGCGATCCTTTCTCAGGCCCCTGAAGTCTTCATGGCCCTCCCTCCCTGGGAAGGTCATTCGGTCAGGCTCTCTGGAAGTTAATAGACACTTTTCAAGCTCACCTACAAAATTCTTCACTTAGAAGCTTTCTGTTTCACCCTTTAAAACTTGACACTTTCCTCATCCTTCTGCTATTATGCAGAGGGGAAATTGGAAGTGGAATCTGGTACAGAATAAATGCAACTACTTAATTGTTGCCTAAATTAAGATTTGGCCCTGAGAGGAAATCTGAGCCTTTTACACAACTTCATAGCCATTCAGTGGGGATCAGAGAGCAGCAATCACCACCCTTGAAGAGCCAGGCAGATGGCCAATACGGATCACTGATGACCTGACATGGTCACGTGTACAGATTTGCAAGGAGCTCATGACTACCTGGACTGTGAAAAATGCCCTAATCTATCAGTTTTTCTGGCAGCAAAGCACACCTGTCATCCACTAAAGGGCACCGTTTTTCCAACCGACAAAGCATCCCAACATAAAAATGGTATTTTAATGACAGATTGGAATAGTTCTTTTTCCAGCAATCTGCCTTTATGACCACATCTGTACAGAGGAAGCTAGCAAGAAGTATGCTGTCACACAGGAAGTGCTCATCACATTAGTAGCAGAGCAGTCGGTTTATAATTCCAAGCAGAGACATTGCAAAATTGGCTTTCATGGCACAGTTCAGTCTTGTTAAAACTGCGCAGGGAATCATATTTTACCAGGAACATCTCAGCTCAGTATGACAGCTTTGTTTTGATAAATATAGAATTATTAGAAACAATTTTGGAAATCATTAATCCAACCCCTTATCTGGTATTTCTACAACATTTTTCCATGGTCTGCCTCCTTCACATAATCCCATACAAAGAAACAGTGTTGATGTCAAGCCTGCAACGAACCTGACTGAAGCAATCTTGCTTGTTTTTGGTTGCCACAAGATTGGGGGGGGGGGAATGGGAAGTTCTATGCTAGCCTAAACAATTCGCTGTCCCGTGGGAACCAAGGTCATTTCTGTTCCCTCAGCTGGGGGGGGGTGAGCTGAATGTCAAATCCCACCAAATTATTCTATTGGGAAACAGTTGATTGCATAGATTATGGGGTGGGAATTTTAACTTTGTAATGTTGTTGCTTTGGGGAGGGGACTTTAGTCTTGGTTTCACTTTTGACTGTGCAGATACTTTGTAACCAATAAACAAGAGGAAAGCTCAAGCCTCCGAATTCTGCTTTGATTGGTCTCATCTATCAGAACCATGACAGTTGATACCAAACTTAAATTTATACAATTTTCTGCAAGCTTCAATAGTATAAATAATTCCTACTGTTGTTTATACTAGGTCTTATTAGAATTACTCCACTGATACTAGGATGTCTGTTCACTTTCCAGTATTGACATACCATTTTGGAGAGTGTTCAGTGCATCCAATTATACAACATTCCATAAAACACAATAGAACAAGAATGGTAAGATATATGATTCTAATGAACATTTTGAATGGGCATTAATAGGATACATTAATTTGGGTACTTATTATTGTGCAATTTAACTTTCAAACTACAGTATTTAATTTCATCACAGAAAAATCTTATTCTACCCACTTAATGGCCTCTCCCTTCTATTCTCATGGAAAACTACCAGTAGCAATATCTTGTTTCACACTTGCTTCTGACTAGATTGCATAATCGGGAATTTAAAATTGTGCTTAATTCACTAGGTAATTTTATTATCTGACAATAGATTTCCAATAAACAGAAATCTATATAATTTTAAGGATACTTGTTCGGGAAACTAACTGAGAAGTTAATCTTTTAAAATGGTAGTTCCATTTCCCTCTCATTCACCGTCTGAAGCAAAGGCAAGGCAAAAGATTTTCCAGTTCTCTTCCCAAGCAAGGTTCTTGCTGGGATGGATACTATCTGCCTGTGGATCAGATCTCTGCTTTTCATGTTCTACCGGTACTACATCAAGACGCTCCCTGCTCTTCTAACTTGGACGGGAGGTTCTTTGGAACCTTACTTCCCTCTGCCGGTGATTAGCCACCCCTGCGTTAGGAAACAGGTGGGGCATGGACTGGCAGGGAGGATTGCTTCTGAGCTGATGAGGCAACCATTCCGTTATATATTTTTGAGATGCTGCCTTGGCTATGTTGTTGCCTCCAGCTGTTGAAACACAAGCAGACGTAGAGGAACAGCTTAAACTTGAGCCCTGAGGCTGCATGGCTTGGCAAAACAGAGCTCAGGATCCCGCACAAATTTGTGAGTCAGAGCTTCTGTCAAAAAGGCTACATACATTTTCACTTTGCAGAAAATGCATCCATCTCTCCGTTGGTTCCCCGATTATATGAATTCAATTCTTCCCCTTACACATTCTGACCCCCTAAATAACCAAAATATGGCCTCTGGCTTAGATCTAGTTTGTAAAAGTACAATACTGACAACTCCAGTAGATAAATGCACTGCAAAATTACATCAACAAGCAACCTGTCCCAATTTACATGTTTCTAGGGTGGAATAACAGATTTTCCAGATGCTTATTTTGCAGAGGTCGATAATCCAGTTGGTCCTTGGTCCCCCACAACTTTGAAAAGCTGTTCAGTGTTTTTGTTGACTTACATATCCTTGCTAAATTTAGTTACAATAAGAATAAACTGTCATCAAATCATTATGTTCAAAAATTGTTTATTGCTAAATGTAAGATGTCAGAGTAGGCCCTCGCAGGAATAGGAGAAACAGATGCTTATATTATATAAAAATAAATGCACCCTATATATTTCCCCTATTTTCTATGGCATATTTTTTTCTACCAGTGTTATTGCTACTCCTGTCAGCAGAGATGAAGATCAAGCACCATGCAGAATCAGAATCCAGGCACTGCTCTGTAATGATCAGTAAAAAACAGTATTCAGCAGATTTTATTTATTTCCCAACATTCACAGCAGACAAGATACAAGGTCAAAGCAAACAAACTTTTGCAAGTGTTCAAAATTGAAATAATCAATGATTGTTGATCGACAACTCATGGTAATAATGAGGCCATGAAACTGAAGGCCAATGATTTAGGCGCCTTAGAGCCCTCCTCTCCCTCAGGAGCCTGAGGTAGCGCTCCTCCCCCGCACAGCCACCATCTTGTGAGGTGTTACTACAATGAGTACAGGTAGTCCTCGACATACAGCAGTTCATTTAGTGACCGTTCAAAGTTACAACAGCACTGAAAAAAGGGACTTAGGACCATTTTTCACACCACCATTGCAGCATGTCCCGTGGTCACGTGATCCAAATTCAGATGCCTGGTAACTGACTCGTATTTATGACGGTTGAAGTGTCCTGGGTTCACGTGATCCCCTTTTGCGACCTTCTCACAAGCTGTGTCAATGGGGAAGCCAGATTCACTTAGCAACTGCAGTGATTTACTTAACAATTGAGGCAAGAAAGGTCTTAAACCATGGCAAAACTCACTTAACAACTGCCCCAGGTAACAACAGAAATCTTGGGCTCAGTTGTGGACTCCCTATAATCTGTTCACATTTATGGCACCCCCCCCCCAGGCCAAATGGAGAGACCCTCCCTGGGCCGCAGTCATCTACGCGGCCCCTTCAACTCGCGCCCCTCTTCCGGCCACCGAGATGAAGGGCCAGCTGGGCGGGCGCGCGCCCGCGACGCCACGTTTGCATTCCGCGCCAGGCTTTTCATTGGTCCTCGCTCTACCAATCCGACGAGGATCTCAACCCATCTGCGCCGAGCAGCCCGGCAACCACGTGTAGCCAAGCGGCCAATCGGAAGCGTGCGAGGGGGCAGCGCTCCCCCTTTTCTCGTTTTCCTACCTCCAGCGCGCTCCGGGCGAGGTGGTCGGTTGCAAGGTGGGGTTTG